TGAAAACCCCCCCCCCCCCCCCCCCACGCTCCACTGGTAAATTATTCTTTCTTTGATACACATATTCCATAACTGTGATAGCCCATTGGAATTCATCGGACCATTGCGAATGTGGTTACATGATTAATAACTGAAATGACACGTCAAACAAACACGAAACTGTACGACACGATTACGCATGGCATTTATTGTTTGTATATATCGTAATAAATGACTAGCCCTCTTGACCCCCCCGTGTAACGGTTTTTACGGATTTCATCTCTTCCCATGGAGCTTGACGACGTGTTAACAACCTCTAGGAGGAAGCATCGAACCACCATCGATCGCAAGGACAGACATAACCTCTGCACGCAGAAATTGACGTTGTGTTGCGCCTTTTTTAAACGGACAATAAAAGAAGTTTAACGTACTTTAAACACTTCACTGTGACGTATATATCGAGGACTGACAGATTTGACAAATTTACAGGAGACGAATATATTTTTGAACAAAATTACGTGATGAGAGTCAAATGAAAGTTACGGTCATTCGGCTAAAACTGTTTTTCTATAACTTAACTATCTATCGAAATACAAATTAGACCTTTTAAATTTGACCGAGTGCTGCGGTTTAACGTTTTATCGTAGAAGCAACTGCGCATGCGCAGCCGAATGAATAGAAGGAGAGAAACTATCACTGCTCGTTGTAGACGAGGCTAAAGTGTAATTTTCGTAAAAGCGAATATAATTAAAGGCTGTTAACGGAACAGTGTGATTGAATTTTAAAATATTATTAATTCTTGAATATACATAACCTAATGTCGATGTTGCATGAACATTATCGAACGACAACTATATTATCGGTAGGACTGCACGTGATCCTTATGAACACATCAATGAAAAGATTCTCTCGAGATGGCTCATCTGTATAGGAATCTTTAACTTTTTTTACGAAATCGAACAACTTTTGCAATAGGCGTAGGAAACCAACGGTTCTCGTGCCGTTCCAGCCCAGCATGGCGTAGCCAATCGATATTAGGGGACGCAACGTCATCCAAGTGCTATATACTAAAGTAACGTCGTAACATAAATTGTCATCAAATGATTAATCAATATTGTATAAGACGAAAGAATTTGTAACGACCATAAAAATAAATTTCACTTTTAATAATAATGATTTTCATTAAAAAATATTTCAAATGCATGAACAGAACGTATCGATTTTGCGAAAATTTTATTTTTGAATGAAAAAAATTATTATAACAATAATGCTAATAAATAAAGAGGATCCCCTTTAATTTATTTAAGTAACAAGTTATCGTATGAACGATTAAAATGTTCGAGCTCTGTTATCATAAGCAAACGATTAGAAATTATCGCCAGGATCAAACGGGATAAGAACGACGAAGTGTGATTGAAGGAATTTTTTGTCTATGCTAGTAAATTTGAGGGACGGATGGCTGTTACATAACAGAAAAGTTGAAAGCCGTGCCAATGGAAATTCTTGGGTAGAATTGAAGCTACGCCTGCACCACTGCTGAAATCAATATCGCGGGCAGCCGTCTCGTGCCGACTTGATTCCTAGACTCGAACAGTCTGTTTAAGAGTTCAATACGCTACTTTTATCTATGCACTGTGCAACCTGAGAGAATTTTTTTTTAAACAAGGTACTCAACGAACGTCACCATTTGGACTCGTCTCGAAATACTGTAGACGTTAGTATGAGCAAGAAAAAAATATATATCGTTAATATGTACAGCTATTGAATATTTGTTTTTAATTTTTAATTTATTACAAAAGACTGAAGCTCGCAGTTGTTTCACGTACAAATTGTCACATCCTCAAAACCTATAGCGTACGGAACTTGAGTTAGTATATGAATTTTTTTTACCCCCTGTAAACCGGTTAAGGTCTTGGAATTTGTCGTGTTTCTTCATTCATTTTTCTTTTGCCATCCAACGAGACGTGAATTAGACACTCACGGAAAGCACAAGCTCGAATCAGTGATGTGGTTGAATAATATTCTTTTTAATGTCCTCGATAATTCTAGTGCTATTCAGACTCAAAAAGCTCTCAAATTCCAGTGTGAAAATCGATAATGCTCCATTAATAAGACTCGGCAAACGTGAGGTTAATGTGTGCTGCGTAAAAGACGAGACGCCAAATTTAAAAAATGATCGATGAATGACCTCCTCTCTTCTGCACCCCAACCCGTCTATTCACAGAGAATGTGTCAGGAACGGAGGAGCTTCACCAGGTCACGAGGTTCAAATCGTTACAATGAATTCTTCCTAACTCTTGGCGGATTCCAAAAGCCAGGCCCCCCATTTTTTCCCAAACTTTCTCACAACCTGCCTTGCATTACCTAAGTGGAGAGTTCAATTGACATGTCATTCGCACACCCCGTAGTTCCACGTCTTATACATTTTGTCAAGCTCTTTTCTAACAGCTTTAATACGAAATTATATGTGAAGTTAATTTTTGAAACCTCTCTAGTGAAACTAATCGTTGATCCATACGCGTTTCTAATCGTTGTAATCGATATGTAAAATTATTAGATACGATGAAATATTAGTTGAGTACGTAGTTGAGTATCATATGTAATGGGCTACAGATGTAACTAAAGAGGTTGGTTATGTAAATAAGAGAAAAAGAAGCGTAGGAAAAAAAATATTGAAACCAGTACAGGTGAGATGGTAAAGAGAGATTACAGTTGCTGAATAGTAAACGTAATAACGTAATAACAGCCGGACAGAGATGAATCGATAGTTTACTCGGGAAGAGTTCCTCCCTAGAAACGTGAGTGAACGTGAAGTGCTTTCGACGGATATAATGATTATGAGGCATCCGAAAGAGAACATTCGCCCTCCAGCAGCTTAGCAATTGAGTGTGGAGTGGCCGAAAATACTCAAACGTGAACTCGGCAGACCAGGAAAGTAGTGTGTAGGTATGAGAGCGAAAGAGAATGGAAGTAGTCATAGAAATAGAGACAGGAGTAAGAGAGTAGAGACAAGAGACACGTTTTATAAACTGATCTAGATGTTTCTAGCCGACTTGTCGACAGATAAAAATGTAAGGAAGCGGAGAAACAATGCAGTAAAAACTTACCTTCATATTATTCTCGACGATGGGTCCGATTGAGCATATTTGATAGACGATGTAGGCGCGGATAAGTTCTTTGGTTGTTTTACTCTTGAAAGATGCTACGGGATCGTTAAAGTTGAGATCAAGAGGATCGATCTGCCGGGGTGCCGGCTTGGCGCCGTTCGTCTCTGCAGGGCTGGTGCTGCTGCTATATCCTCTATCCACCACCTGCATGAGCTGCCCTGACGACCTGGCGACATTTTCAAAGAATCCAGCGGGCAGCGGCAAGCACTTGGCCAATTTTTTTCCAGCACGGCACCGCGGGATCGTCCTCAAGAACGCCATAATATCTTGTGTCGCGCGTCGAGTCGGCACACAGGATTTAACGAGTATCGACGAAAATGGACGAGAGCAACCGATTTGCTCTGTCAATTGGGATCTTTGAGGATCAAATGATTTTTCTTTGTTGATAATTAGTGGCGGTTATTTGGTAAAACTTTAGAACCTTTGGATATCTTTCTTCTTTCAGTGGATACGTCCTACACCACGTTCTACAGCGGCGTATTTCAGTCGCGGCGGCGAATTCGTCTGCTCAACACGGACGGGCTGAATCGAACCTGTCACGACCGAATCGGACGCCCCAATAGCGCTGCTTCTTGCCAAGGAGTAGGTCGAAGCCCGAGGTGGGGTACGATCAAATACAGCCACACCACGCCACACGCACCGCTCACCGGCGAGTACTTGCGAGTCAAGCAGTATCCTTGTATAAAAGGATCAAGGTAGAATAATCACGTAAGATGCCTAATGCTGTCTATGAGATTTACATTTAATTTGAGGTATATTTTACAACAGGATTTATCTTCATTATTTAACATTACATTACATCTCAAATTAGATTTCAATTGTCCCACGTTGCTCCAATTACCGCGTCGACATAATGCCGGCGTCCAATTTGATTGGCTTCTGATGGAGGTGTGTCGCGCTTCACGATTCCCATTGGTGGACAGAATTCTGTGAAATGCCAATAGCTGCGCAAGCGTCGAAACGCGCATTGACGCAAAACTGGTACAACTCTGGTACAACCATCCGTATTTCTTCTCAATTCGTTCTTGCTTATCGATGACGTATATTAATCATTGATTTATTTGTTTCTTCTATTTTTCTTGTCAAACATTATAAGCGGCACTTATTTTTGCTGCTAATCTTTATGATACGTGTACACGTTCGGTAATTATATAATTTTCTATTGCATTTCTCTATATCTATATATTATTATTGTTCATAGGGTGTAAGGAGATTGTTTGATCTCCATATGGATTTTTCTCTTATTGTTAGTTATTCTAAGGGACATTTTCGAATGACCATTCCTAATGTAAACCAGTGGTACTGTACTGAATTGCTGGTTTTGATTGGTCGATCATGGAGGTGTGTATCAGATCCACTATCAGGGTTTGCTGATTTAGTTGGAACGTCTTTCAGTAGCGTATGATGCTTCATAACTGTTCATAACTATTGCGATAATCTCCCATACTGTATGATCATGTACAACGAATTTTCTTTATATTTGATAGATATTGCCATTGCAATGATTACTGTATTATTTGAATATTTTCATATACGATAATATACATTCTTTAAATTCTATCTCGAATGTTAAATTGAAAAACTCCCTTTATTTTACTATCATAATATATTGGAAATAGTTCTATGATACATTTTTGACTATAGTTAATTTTAGGTACAGATATGTTGGGTATATGTATATTAACTATAATATTATAGATACCTACATGGGGATACAGCTGATTGTATAACCATTGCATTTAAGGAAACACGTACTATTTACAAGTAGAAGTCATTTTTTTCATGCGATAGCAAAAGGCTACTATATTTTTATATAATTAGAAACTAATTATATGTATTTGTATTCAGGAAAAAAGAATAGAATATTCTCGACTTGCAAAGTTGTACATACTTATGCGTGATCAACATCGTCGCTGTTAACTTTAACTGTTTTGTACTCGCTTCTGATGTTAAATTCGTGGTTGCAATTGTTGTGTTACATATTTGTATAGTTTCTAAGGAATATTTTCGAGCATTGATCAGTTTTGTAATATTGTTCCTCTAGTTATTATCATAACCTATAAATTCGGCTGCTAGTGCTTTGTTGAAGAAAAATATTTATAATCTTTTATACTTCTCGATAATTATTAAGATTTATTAAAGTGGGTCGGCTATCCTGCCTAAGAATATATCAAAACATGTGATTCCTTTTAAATTTTAGGATAAGACAATATTATACAAACATGAATATCCAATTAAACTTAATTATTTATAAAAATACTATTTTTGACCATGTAATCATAATGCCGGCTAATGTAATTAAATACAAGCAAGACTATAATGAAGATCAAGTAGACCAGAATAGTTGTAATGAAACTATTCCAAAACCTACTGTAAAGACTCATATCCCAATTCGTTTAAACAAAAAAGGATTTGATGCATATCTTCTCTCAGCGTATGTTGCTACTATTAAGTGCTCAAGTGTTTATCGTGAATCTGCAATCAAGACTTTGCTACGTTTTATCAAGTTGAAAGCTGCAAACAAAAATTGCATACTTCTTGCAAAACTACGTACACCAAAGAAACAGTTTTTGGATTATCAATGGCACGTATCATTGATATTGTTAATAATAATGATTGTGACATGTTTTTTTATTACAGGAATGAAAGGATAACGTACTTGGTTTTAGAGCATAGAGAAGTGGATCATGCAATGTCTTGGTTGTCTACATTAGGTGGAGCTTTTTCTGCTTTAGGAGAACAGTTTGAACACTGCGTAAGCATATAGATGCTACATTATACATATATTATTACATTTTCTATATTACAGAATAGAAAAATTGTTAATATTAACGTTTTTAAATATGTTATAGGCTGAGATAGCTGGGAAAATTTCACTACGACAATTTGAATTAGCCCTACGTCTGGATGATCCACTTCTAGTTGCTCGTTGCAAACTTTATGCTGCATTAAGTCTACTTCAAAGGGGTCGTCTTAGAATAGCAAAGTCCATCATCAGAAATATCTATACATTTGCTGTGCATCAAAAAGATGTCAGGCTAGTAAGAATGTGTCAAGGCGTTTGGGCTAAATTACAATACAGCTACAAATTAAAGCGACAAAAGAAGTACTCTTAATTTTTCTTAATTCTTTGGTCAGTGTAAAAATGCTAAGACATGGTTCTTTGTATATTTGTAAATAAATTAGAAATAAAAACATATATCAAGTGCTATTTATTTTTCACGTTTCACACTTGATTGACTAACACCAATTAACTTTCATGTTTGTTTTAAATCTTGGATCATTTGGAATATTTTGAACACTAGTTTATATATTTTTTAAAATTTTATTTGCAACGGTACACTTCCCAATATTTAGCTTAAACTTATAGTTCAGAATTGAATCATATCAATTTTGCATGCAGCATTCTAATAATATGAAAAAAAGTCGAATTATAAAAAAGATTTATTCCTCAATTTTTCACAAAGATATAAACAAGTTGTATATATTCAAAATAATGGATAAGTATATTAAATGATGCCAGCATGACTTCTTAGAAACTTTTGACTTGACAAATCAAAAAGCACTGCAACGATGTCAATATATAATATACGTACGAATCTATATATTATATATTATGGTATTAGGAATCATTATTGTTAAATCTCGCTACATTATTTGGTTTCCTTTTTGTAAGCAATTAGTAAATTAATATCATCACTTGTAAATAAGACAAGTCTGACAATTTTTCCAATCAATATAACGTTGTTTCGTTTTTCGTATGGCGTACACATCTATACTATCTATATAAATTCTAAAATGCGTTTTTCGTTCGAATTGTGATTTTAATATATTTTACGACAATGATACGCCTCATAATACATTGATGATCTATTTTGGATTGAGCGAGCACACAAATTAAATATCCTATTGTAAATGGGTGCTCCACATATAAAAAATCAATACTCTTTATCGTTTTTTCATAATATTTAGGAAATTAGGAAAATAATAAAGATAATTCGTAAGGTGTAGAGATATTAGCATTAATTTTGACTTCATTATTTGGTTTTGTATACTTGCTACCTGATAATAATTTATAACTTTGTCGATTGACCCGTTTTGTTAGGTATGCTGCAAACCTGTGCGCAGTGGTATATATTGGAAGAAGTATTGCAAACAGTGTTTCCGAGAATTTGCTGTCGAGTTATACAAAATAAAAAATGTATACTGATATACTACATTTACATATTGCTGCACAATTACTAGTACATTTACTTTATTTAACTGCAAATTTCCATCGATCTTTCTCTCTCTCTATCGTCGTGCATCTTTCTCATTATACCGCTGCACTCAGTTTTATTTAGGTACTTCTCAATAATAGATTTTATCCATTATCTAGAAAACTAAATTTATTGAGTATTTAAGACCAAATGGTTATCAGCGGGCGAGGTTACCCATGGGATCCCATGCTGGCAAGACTATAGGATCCTGATTGAACACGGCCAGCACATCAGCCGGCACAAACTTTTGGTCGACTACAGCCTCGAAAACAAATTCTAAGAACCATTCAGCCGTTAAAATATTGTATCCCTTCTGACCATGATCATCGCCCCATGAGTTTTCCACTCGGAAGTTCTTAACTTTTCCATCACTCTGAAAAATGTTTATGAACACGTTACTTCTTGTCCGCATTAAAAAGATTATCGATAGACTTTCATTTAACGAATGGAGTCTAACACATGTTAACGAAAGTAATAATATTTTTTGAGACTTACATCCGTGGAAACTGCCGTAAATGTCATCGCATGAGTCATCGTCGATTGACCATAGAGAAGCCGGTCAGCTTTGTTGAGAACAACTTGTACATCAGTGCCAAACATCAACTTGAAATCGTGCGCATTCAGATCTTGAATACCTTGTTTTGAAGCGAATCGTTTGCTCACGTCGCAACCGAACCAAACTGCTTCATTTTGCTTAATACTTTCTGCGCACAACTTCATCAATAAATCTGGTGGCTGATTGTTGTACAGTGTCGGTCGGCCGCCGACTACGTTTCCCAGGCAATCGACCGTGTATGCTTTTCCATAAGGATTTGAAGGTCTCGGATCTGTGACCAAGCATACTTTGTCGTCCACATTGTAATAGGGCTTTACATATTTTGTGTAGAATTCAACAGGCGTAATGGGACCAATGCTGTTGAAAGTCTTGGTTTTGTCATAATAGTCCCATGTGATGGTTTCTGATGGTATGCCCAAACAAATACCAACAATTCTGAAGATAACAGTCATTTGCTCGACTATTTGGGCTTCGATCTTTTCAGTGGATGCCCCGTGAGCTACTAAATCACGAAGAACCTTGGCGTAATCCCGAAGTTTACTTTTAAGCAGACCATTCATGCGGCCGCTCGATTCAGAACTGAATGATTCCGGAAAGCATGTCTTTGGTACCAGACCGTAACGATTAATAAGGTTGACGATCATGTCCCATTGGCCGCCATCGCATACTGGATCGTTCAATAGAAATGAAACTAAACGACCTTCTATAGATTCACCGCGTTCTGCAGTTTTCACGATATTTTGTAAAAAGTAGTTACATCGTTCAATCTGAAAGCAATTTAATGCACTGTGTAATATCATCTACACTTTAGACATTGTATTTTTAATAATTTATAATATTATTTTATGTACTAACCTTATCCCAGAAGAATAAATAAGTTTGACTAAATTCGAACTCGTCCAAATTGTGATTCTTCATGAAGGGTATTCTTATTACATTTAATGTTGCAAAGATCCAGCATCGTCCTGAGTTCTTCTGATTGGTTATTGGTTTGCCTTCAGATTCTACCTTATGTGTAAATGCATGTTGAGTATTTTCTAGGGTCTTTCGAGACAGGCAGGCATCCAGAGGATCAACCTTAGTACAGACATTTTGTGCCAGAACATTTCGAGAGTCTGCATAAAATTTGCTGCAGAGTTCACGAAGCACTTCTGGTGACAGAACCCCAGCTGTATTAAAAAGAAAGGATAATGTTCATTAATATTTTTAGAAACTTTTGAATTAACGTTTTCATTTGATGTTCATAATATATACTTTACTGCATATCTTTCATATTCACAATGAGGGACATATCTTATTGGACTTAACAATTCTATTTACATTTTTTAGTATCTTCTCTGATTTCATTGTTTGTAAACATCCAGCAACATCTCCCAGTTATCTTTAATTTTGAAATAGAGTACAAGCTCTACAGGGTTATTCTGTACAAACACACCATCTGAAGTTGGTTCTACAATAGAAATCAAATGGACAGGCTAACTTCAGTCGTTGTGTTCGGTATGAATAACTCTGTACAACAGAATCGACAGACTCATATTTACTCTTTAAAATTCATGAATTCTGCAAAAACTCATTACTTGAAAATACACTTAGACAATTCAATAGCCAGAAACAATATGCATAAAAGATCTGAAGCAGTTATCAAAAAAATTTCCCCTTTTCCAAGAGTGGCCAGTTTGTATAACCCATTTCTACAGCAAGTTGCAACCTCATGCTATCTTCTCTTTTTAACAAAAGAGATGATCTTTAAGAAAAAAATGAAAAGAGAATGAAGACAATCATGATAGTGATGATGCATACTCTGTTTATCTTTGGCAGTGCATGGCAACAATGCAATCAGGGAGTGGTTCACAAGTTCTAGAAAAACAATTATAATAGAAAATTTACTCTACATTTTTTAATGCCTAATGGAAAGAGGTAAATCAGCTGTGTCTGCTGGCTCAAAACAAAATTTTTGTACCCTCTAGTTGAAGAAATATTAAAGTTGGGCAAAATTAAGTAGGGGAAAAATGGTTGTATTTAGTCAGGAGGTCGATTTTATAACTTAAATCTAGTAAAAATACGGAAAGTAAATAGCTGTTAATCAATCGTTGTGCTTGTCTTTTTTTAAACCCACATCTATTGTTAACCTATGGTATACTGAGGCGTTTATTGTAAAAACATGAACATTATTTAAGTATCGTATACTTATTGAGAAATTACTGTTAAACGAAACGTATACGGCGGTTGTCTTTGCGTGTTCTTTTCCCCACCCGTAAACGCTAGAGAAAAAATGACGGTGCAGATTTGGGCATTCAGTAAGCATTATGGCTTATATATCAGAATAATTACTTGCTAGTCTTAAATTCACATTTTTAATATATTTTTATATTTGTTTTATGAAGTCTAACAAATTATACATTGCTATTGATTTGACTTCAGCCACTCTACCATACTACCTTAAAGGAGTAGACACCATTTAATTCCGAGATTTTTATATTGCAAAACCATATCAATGGATTTCGTCCAGTAATCGCGAATAAAATCGATTAACGCGACATTTCCAGTAAACAACGGTGACAGTTGTTATATTCATATCCACAGAATATGCTAAGCTTCAAGAAAAACAACTTGAGAAGGAAATACTTACAAGTAACCATCATTAGACGAGTGTGAGTTAATTTCTGCCTGTTTCTGTCGTACCTATGGCACTGCGTGATACTGAACAGGACGCCGCAACGCTTGTCGTCGCTTCGAGACTATGGTGGGGCAATGTCCTCGTTTCCGTTTTTTTGAATCACCACTTCAATTAATCTTTAATGTGCTGATCATGTTATGTTCTTCATTTAAAAATTTCGTATATATTTATTGGAAATTAGGAACTGCAATAGTTTCAATAAATTTTTTATTTAATGTTCCCAACAGATCCAATTTTTGTATTCCCATCGTAACTTTCGTTGATCAATTATAATTTCTACTGGACTTGAAGAGTTTGTATATAATCTTGTTAATTTATAATAATGATTACTAAATGGTCTGACTTACATATTGAAAATTGTAATAGAGGTGAATTAGAAAATGTTTGCTTTCCAGACCGGAACAGGTTATAGATTTAAAGTGTAGCAAACATAAGTTATGCGCAAGTCCGTTGTTTATATGCCAGTAAACGATGATATGGTGGAAATTTGAAGGGTATCTATAAATTCTTCGTTGCAATATAACGCGTGTAAAACATTGCAATGAAAAATTCGTGTGGAGGACATAATTGACCTTTCTTTGGATAATAAGAATTCATTGTTATGAGACGTCTTGATCGTCGCCACAAGATCTGCCTCTATACGTCATGTCCGTTTTATTATTCTGTTTCTTTGATATATCTGAGAGCAATAATTTCTTTGTTGCCCAGTGTTGCTCCGTTTAAACAACATAGCTGTGTTATGTCTAAAGAACATATTACGAAAAATATTCACTTGACGATTAACAGATATTACAGAGGCGTCCAATATTCTTATTAGGTATAGATCTTTTTCTAATCATTACGAAATCTGTGTTAAAGTTATATATTGTTCATGTTATTCAATTTTTCAGGAATAACTCAATAAATATAACCAATATTCTCATTGTCAGTTAGTATATTATAAAAAAAGAAGACATTCTTTTGTCTATTATCACAGGACAGGATGAAGTAACTGTAAAGAGGAAAAGGGATTATTAATATTAAATTAAAATGGAGGAGAATATTTCAAAGTTAGTGCAGCAGCACTTGAAGCTATTGCAGCTTGAGCAAGAAGAAAATCTGCAGCATTTTTTGAAAGATGTTTCACCCAATGTGCTTCGTAACTTAGAAGCGCAAGGTCAAGCTTTAACAAAATTGGTGATGAGTAATACTGCTGCTAAGGGTCTGGAGGGTCGGCATATAGAATTCATGCATGCCGATGAGATACCATTAAAACCTGGTTTAGCTGTGGGAGATACAGTTATCCTTATATGCTCCAATCGGAAGGAAGAATCAGTAAGAGGTCTTGTTGAAGCTGTGTCTGAAATGACAATTTCAATAATGATTGACAACTATCGGTTAGAACCTCCTGTTGAAGATGAAAAGTATTGTCTTGTTCAGGTGAATTCTGACTTCACTTACAAGTGTCAGACAAGGTGTGTGAAGAAATCAAAAAGATTCTACATTTTTAATCAATTTTATTCTCCTATCTCGTATCATTAACATATTCGAAAAATATTTAGTAATCATTTATTTATTTTGCAGAGCTTTAAATAATTTAAGATCTAAGAACATATGTTCCTGGCATTGTGCTGATGTTATTAGAATCTTATTTGACAACACCGAGATTAGTTTACCACTACTTACTACGGAAGTGTCATTACCAAGAGAAATTCTAGATGAGAATGAAAAACTGATACTTGCAAATCCTAATTTGGTTGAAGACCAGCATGCTGCTGTCATGTTTGCATTACGTCGAAAGCATTTTGCTATTATACAAGGTCCTCCAGGTACTGGTAAAACAACAACTATAGTGGAATTGATAATTCAATTGAAACGAATTGGTAAAAAGGTAAAATATAGCATAAGGAGATATCCTAAAAACAAATTAATATTTTATGGAAATAATGCTGTCTCAGGTTTTGGTCTGTGCACCAACAAATGTTGCAGTGGACAATGTAGCTATAAAACTCGGTCCAACGGAGGCGAAACCCTTACGGCTTGGTCATCCAGCCCGTATGATGGAAGCAGCACGAAATTATTCCATGGATGCTATGATACAGCAAGATGATAATTACACCATTTTGAATGATATCAAACGGTCAATTAAAGACATAAAGCAGACAGAACAAGAAAATGGTGCGGTCTCTCGTCGACTGAGAGAGTTGGATAAGGAATACTGGAATAGATCAAACAGATTAATGTCAGACATTTTAAGAAGACATTCAGTTAGTGTTATTCAATTTCTATTATCAAATCGCATGTATTTCACTCGTTTGGTATAAAATTTACATTTCTACAGGTTGTCTTATGTACCTTAAATTCAGCTACACCAGGTGAAAATGTTCTACGGCATGTACCAAAGGATTACTTTAATGTCATTATTGTTGATGAAGCATCTCAAGCACTGGAAGCATCAACATGGATAGCGTTGCCAAATGCAGAGAAAGCTATTCTCGTAGGAGACTTTAATCAACTACCACCAGTCGTCATGTGCAAAACAGCAGCTGATCGCGGTTTAAATGTTAGTCTGATGGAAAGGGCTGTTAAAAAATTAAGCAACGAAGCATTTCGAAGTCTTTGCCTTCAGTTCAGGATGAACAAAGAGATCATGTCATGGTCGAATGAGCAATTTTATAAGAATAATTTAGAAGCAAGCAGTACAGTGGCAGGTCACCTGCTCAAAGATTTACCTGCTGTCCAGGATACTGCCATAACAAGTACGTATAATTGAAAATATTCTTACACGAAAATCATATGGTCAATAATAATTCCATGTAGGTAATTCTCTCGTTTTCGTTGATACGTGTGGCTGCGACTGCGAGGAATATGGTATTGGCTTTGATACAATATCAAAGGGAAATATGGGTGAAGCTATCGTGGTCGATGCAGTCGTTGCCGCCTTAGTTTGCGCTGGTGTTTCACAGAATGATATTGGCGTGATTACGCCCTATGCATTACAAGTACGCTCATTATTATAGTATTGTTATAATTTTTAAAATATTTATTTATGGAAAGTCTCACTAGAAACTTTTTATTCTTAGGTGGATTTTATAAGACGCTTATTAGCCACACGATCAATAACCGTTGAAGTGAGTACCGTGGATAGTTTTCAAGGAAGGGAAAAGGAGGCTATTGTTTTATCCTTAGTGCGAAGTAACGAGCAGAAAGATTTGGGATTTGTCACCGATTTCAGAAGACTTAATGTTGCTGTAACCAGGGCAAGACGATTGCTTACTGTTATTGCAGATAGTGAAACTGTGGAGGATAATAAATTAATAGCTAGTTTATTAAAGCATATCGAGAACCATGGCCTACTTCAAACAGCACAAGAATATTTGACGGGTAAATGAATATCGCACATAAAATGTTACTTGTTACTGTGGGCTATTATTAGAGTAATGCAAAGTATATTTTATAGATGCAAGCAATGAGATTAAAGACCGACTGGCAAAAGGTACCAAAATTAAACAGAAAAATGTGTCTGTACCCGAAAAATCAGGAAAAAAGGATAAATCTGCGGATAAAGCATCCAAAAAGAGTAATAAAAAAGGAGATGTACCTAAGATCCCAAAAGTCGAAGGCGTCGGTCTGAATGAGACGCTGAATAGAAAAAATTATAATCCATTTGAAACTATAGCCGCTAGTAAAATTGAAGATGAATTGAAAGACCTGAAGACGACTGAAGAGATGATGGACTTTGAAGCACAGGTTGATAATGATGTAAAAAAGGTTGAGGAACTCAAGGGGATTGCAGAATTGTCTATATTAATTACAAAATTAAACGCTACGCGCAAGGATCAGCAACAAGGTAATTTGATTTAATGCTGTGATCAACGTGATTTTAAGAAGGATAATATAGCAATTTGATTGGAATTATTCCAAGTATACGCTAATGTAATTATTTGCAGAAGATGGCAGTAGCACGCAGACAACGTCAAAGCCATCGACCAATAGAAAACGGAACAAGAACAAGAATAAAGCGATTGAACCATCTAGTGATAAAGATGACGATATTGATAAAATCATCGCTACTGTCACTGCTAATGATTACGTCTGCGGTATGAATGGCTGTAAGAAATCCACACAACTTATTCATCAAACGTGTGAATTTTGCAAAACACGTTTTTGCCTACAACATGGTGAGCAATGTACATTAGGGATATAAAATTAGAATATGCAAGTGTTACTTTGTATATCCTGAATTATACTTAGGTATGCAAGAAATACATGGATGTGGAGATGCAATTCGACAAAAGGAGCGGAATGAATTCAGACATAAAAAGCCAGAACCGGCGACTCAAAGAAGTAAACAGAAGTTTGCTCAAAAGTTGAAGCAATTGGAGCAAGCACGGATGCCAAAAAAAAAGTCAACTAAGTAGAATACATATGTAATATTTATTATATATTTACACTTGATTAATAGATATTTTACATTTGAAGATGAAAAGACGAGATCATGGATCTCATTGTTATACTTCATTGTATTTGTAAACTGCCACGCGACTTCGTGGCGTTTATTGCGAAAATTAAATAATTGGTGATAAGAAAGTATTTAGGCTTATTTATTGTTATTTGTAAATGTAGTTTAGGAGAGAAAGTCTACATTGTAAGTTTTGGTGCTCCGGAACATGCCAAACCTCAGCGAAGCGTCAATTACAGGCTCGACAATAAGTTTTTCTTCAGTCTCCAAGCCTTTTGGCGTATCTATTGAATTCATAAGATTACTTTATAACTTCCTATTGGTATAATATACTAATATACATATATAAAGTATATTTACCTACTATTACCGGTGCCGATTTAGAAAAGAGTGTTACACGTGGTTTCTTGAAAACGCTTACCTTCAGGCATTCGATCTTCACCAGCATCTATAAATTTAATGTTAATTATACCGCGAAAATTGTAACTTTTGAGGCTACGTTAATTTAGCCAAGAAATATTTAATAAGAATTATAAATAATTATTACCTCAACCAATTCCCTCGTATGAAATGGCTGCAATGCCGGCATAAATCTTGATTGAATTTTAGTTAGAAATGCTCCAGGATGCATCATACAGTAGGCAAGAACGGAACCCATCATGCGATCTAATACTCTACGGTTTAGCACACCATCTATTCTTATCCAAGGTCTTATCACTACTTTTATTTCCTCTGCTGAACTGAAAAGCGTAATTAGTTCGTTATAATATTATCAAAAATGTTATTACATGAATTTTGTTTAATAATAAAATCTGGATATTGCTCTTACTTGAAGTCTAATCGCTTAGCAGCTTTATGTATATCTTTTTGTTGAAGCAAAGATATTCTATTTCTTTGCATTCTTTTACTAGAATGTGAAATGTGCTCCTCCTCTGTGATACAAACATTGGTGTCCAATTGAACCTTTTTTTTCGTACCAACAGTCGCATCCTCCACAATGGCAACCCCTTCATCACGTTGCAGATTGCTCTGTTCCGTTTCGGCACTTTCCACATCTTTCTCTAAATTGTCATTAACTAAATCACGTCTCACAAATTTTTGATCGTTGACTATATCTGCGGTTGTAGATGGTCCATCCTGTAGGGTGCTCGTTGAACACTCATCTTTGATAACGAAATTTTCTTGTTTCTCCTCGTCGGCAAAATACATACTTCCTTTTGGTATTAACGGTTGAGAGTCCTTATCCAGGCGCAGAATTTTGTAAGATTCTATCAGCCAAGGTTCAGTATAAGACCAATGAATGTAACGAAGAGTTGTCACACCGGATCGTAGGAAGAGATAATGGGTTGTCAAGAGTGATACAATTTCACATAAAATTTCTTCATCCATGCAGCTAAATTTCGTCTAGAAAATATGTTAGGGAATTACTAATGATATGACCTGTATAGACAAAATTATTGAAACTTACCAGAAGTTCTTTCGTAGTGCACCCTAACTCCTTCATACTTCTCACAAATTTGTACACGTTATCAACGTCGTTCAACGAGATATGAGGGAGTTCAAGGATACTTTGTTTAAATTCCGCATAAGAGATGTCCTTTGGAAAAATTGCGTATTTCTTAATGTCATCTATGAGCTTCTTAGCCAGGTTTGTATTCAAAGGCAGTATTTCTCTAGGTACGTTGTGCTGATGAAAATCTGTTAGCTCTCTGGGACTCTTGGATTCAGGTAGATGCAAGGAATAGAATATCTTGAAAGTATTCACGACGAAATACTCGTGAGCGTGATGACTGTCAGACAGAGCAAAGTCATTCAATTCTTCTCGCATCATTAATAGTGCTATTCGTGTTCCTCGCTTTTGTACATCATTCAGATCTAACACTTTTCCAGAAGAACTCTCACATTCCATCTCATTGTAGATATTCTTAATGATGTCATTAACGCGAGCAGAACTATTGTTTGGATTTGAAAAAGTATCTGAGACTTTAACAGCAGTAGTGGCATCTCGTGATTTTATTGTTGATGTATTCGTCTCTGTGTTCACAACAGAGTTATCATCAGGATTGCTCAGTGTGATGGTTTCTGCATTACTAGGAACGATATCACCGGAGATTTCTTTGTTGTCTGTAATAAATAGAATGTTTTAATAATTTTAAAAATCACATTGATCATTTTAATCTAATGTCTTACCCGGGATTTCAATTGCGTAATCATTAATTTCTGAAGGACTACTTGTTCTTGCCTTCTTCACAATCAGCTCTTGATTAATCTCACTGTCGGTTAACGAATCCCTACTTCTTTTTTTATTAATATTTTGTACCTGTGTTGTGTTTTCCGAAGATTTTTCAGTAATTTTTTGCATAAGTATTTCACTGTGAGAAGCAGCTGAACTATTTTTGTTTTGAGCGTTTATGAATTCGTCATCGGTCGCTTCAACATCGGACATCATTCTGAGTTTCTTTTTTGGAACAGTATCTTTATTATTCCCATTAGATCTTTTAAGGGAAGGTTTTGATTTATTTTCTTGTGTTTTCAACAGAACAGAAGCGTCATCCACATCGCACCGATCAATGTCTTCCTTGCTTAAGGTGATTGTAGTACCATCCTGAAACCGTATTGTATGATTTTCATCCTCGTCATCAGCGTCACCGATATCATCAGGAAAGTCATCATCATCATCATCATCATCACAATCCTCATCAGCTTCCACACATTCCCGTTCAGCATCAGTCTGATCAAGTGAAGATCCGACCCTAAAATCTTTGAAACTTCCAAAAACAGAGACATCAACTTCTTGTAAGTTGTCCGTTCCCATTTCCAGAACCTTCCGGTACTTCTTCTTCCTCTCCATCATCTCATCATCAAATTTTTCTCTTTTAATTCGTCTATCCGTATCCTCTGTATCGCGCACCTCTTTGATCTCTGCCTCCTCTAATTGCCTAGCAACTTCATCGTTCCTCGTTTTCCAATATTGATGCCTGTCACGGTCCTCTTTTTCCCGCTTCTCCCCAATAACTTTATCCTCAAATTCACGTCTCTCGATTTCATCTTCTTCCTCGACTTCCGGGTCTATCAAATCAATGTCTACGTTACGTTTTTTCTTAGCATTCAATTGCTCCAGGCTCCTTAAGATATCCAGGTACCTCCTTTCGATTCTGAGATACGTTTCATCCTTCTCTTGTAACCTGGGATCTAGCATGATTATTTGATCAGGTACTTCTATATCGAATTCCAACTGACCCTTAGCAATGTAGTCATGAATAGCAACGACTATTCCACCGGTCACAGGTGCAGCCTCTATACCGTCCACGCCATCAGGGACAGCATAGTTTAAGGATTCTAACTGATTCTCTCCATACCATTGAGTCAACTTGTAGAGGAAGTCATACGACTCGGCAAAAGCCTCGTAGGGCCATTTAGTTTGAAATTTATATATGTAACCAGTGCTCAATTGGTACTGGGAACTGCTCATAGGCATGCAATTTCCATACTTCTTTATTGCACACATATAGCTCTTCTTCACAGATACCATTTGATCCGATCTGATCTTGTTCATAGCGATCCTGAGAAGAAATTCTGGATATTGCTGATACACTTTAAAAAGTTGATACGCCCAGGATGTTCTATCTTTCCCACAGCACATTGAACTGTGTATCACAGAATTGATAGTAGCAGAATGAATATCATTGATACTGCTAACATCCTTAGTAAAGCCCCGTGAGCCCAATGGCTTTGAAGGATGTTTCACTTTGTAAAGCAGATTGAATTCTTGAATAGTTTTAGGTAGAACAATATGCTCTCTGGGTACCATATCAGATATATCATAATACTTCTTCGCTACATAAGCCACAAGATCTTTGAACACTTCAGCAACTTGTTCCTCATATTCATAAGGGTTTTGACAATCCTTTTTCATCTTCTCAACAATACCGTCGAAGCGTTTGTTGATGTAAAAATTCTGCTTAATCTCCTCTACACCCAGCATCACGCTGTTCATTGTCTGAGGGCGTCTCAGCATGTACAACAATCTTCTCTGGCATGCTCGCGAAGTCTTATTACACGAAGTAGGCGAGTAGGAGCGCAAAACGTCTCTCACGGAAATGAATGTAATCATCTGCTTTCTAGGATTTGGGCACAAGTACATCATTACGACTTTACAGACAAGTAAAATGTTATCTTCGTGTGGCTCCCAGTCGACACGCAATTTATCCATTCGTTGCAGAGCACAGAAATCGATTTCGTCGTATTTTACTCTTGGTCTCACTTTGCGTTTTCGTGGCATTACTCTTCTGACAAAGGACTTCTGCTTCGTGCTGTGACAGGAGACGAGAGTTTGATACTCCTTTTGTTTAGCTCTATGCTGGGCAGCGTCTGCTTCTCGTTTCTGTATTCGTTTCTTCAATTCAGTTGCGTTGACCGTTGCTGGTCCAGTGACTTTTCGTAGGTCAGCGAATTCTGTAAACTTCACAGGCTTCGCTTTGATCTTTGACATATAAGCGCTTCGTTGACGTTCTGCTTTGATCTTAGTAATCTTTTTCGAGTATTGTCGTTGGATGTAGTAGGAATTTCCCCAGTTCCAGTTTCTTTTGAGGTGAGCAAAGAATGCTGAGTCCAGACCTGCCGCACCTCTGCGATCACCAGGAACAAAACCAACGTCCAATTCACAGGCCTCGTGGGGCATCCGGGCTCGAATTGCTTGAATCATCTCGGTTTTCTTTCCCAAATCCTCCAGCAATATGTCCTTACCTTGCACCACGAGTCTACCGCCCAAGAATGTATTTATACATGTATTCCACATGTCGTACCAATACTTTTCTAATGCTTGCATCGAATCGAATGTATACTTCATCACGGGGTACTCTTTCTCCTCAATTTTATGATAGCCTGCAGCAGAGGACGTAGTATCCAGCAGTTCAGCATGCCGATTTAGATAAAGAAAGACCTGATCTTTCTCCTTCAATTTTTGAGGGCCAAATTGTATCAATCCGATATAGCACAGCCTTGTTATACTTTCGTGAATAGTGAATATATACTTTCGTGCCATAAGTAAAGTATTTCTAATATTCGTCGGCAAGTCCTTTACTAGGAAATGTTTCCTGATTGGATGATTTACGTAATACTCAAGATCGGGTATCACAAACGGCACGTTATGAACTTTAAGAAAACATGACAGTGGTATACGTAATAGAATATCACACATAAGGGTCCATCCTAATGGCCAGCCTACGAAAGAAAGGAATATTCGCTCACATTCAATCTATTGATACAAATCAGTTTACTTTCCTATAAAATGCGTCATCTTTTAAATTGTTTACCGTTATGTTGTGGCACTGGTGGTATAAACATTTTCCAATTCACTTCCATATTGTAAATTGTACTCATTTCTTTTCCTAAAGCATCATCAATGAGAAAACCATTACGGCGCAAATACGCCAATTGTTCTTCTTTCGTTGCTGACTGTTCCCCTGGATGATCATATATCACGTAGTATATCAAAGCATGAAGGGTTTGCATGCGCACGAATTTTGGACTGTAACCGTATTTTTTGCCCATTGTCTGTAATGACATGTTGCACAAAATTATAAAGACATAGTGCGAGACCCTGTGCAAAAAATGATTTACTTACATAGTCGTACTTCAAGTTGGTAGTAACTGGTTTGCTCTTTTCAGGAATTACTTCTTTCGAATCCTTGTCAACTTCCTTCGAATCTTTCTGTTCCATTTCAATACGATCTAACTGATTTTGTGTAATTGGTTTGATATTCTGGGATCCCACCAAACAAAACTTTATTTTTGCTTGTTCCACGGCAGATTGAATGACGGTGTGATTTGTATTGATACTTGGATCACAAATAAACGTAAGTGATTTCTCCTTTCCATTTGCGCTCAATGTCAATTTGATGTTTTTAACTAGATTATCTTTAGCTAACTTTTGCAGGAGCCTGATTAAAGATTTTTTATCAATTTTCACGTCGTACCCCTCTCTATCTTCTTCCTCGTTTATCATCTAAAATTAGTAAGTTCAGTTAACCGATACATAGACACTGAGAAGTACAAGATTAACTATAATAGATAATCCATTAAGATGGAGTAACGAAACGGTAATTGTACCTTCATCAACTTTGTCATGTCTTTGATGACTTTGTCTTCCTTAACAGATTGGATAATCATGTTGGCTCGTTTGAGCAGCCTGTACGTGATGTTTGATATATTTTTACTCTCGTTCTTATGCAATTCCTCTATAAATCCAACAATATTATTTGAGGATTTTCCTCCTTGATCTATTGGGAGTTGTTCAACTAGTTTTGTTTTAATGCTGTTGAACAGAGACATTGCCCTAACACGGTCAGCATGTCGTAATTTTGATATCGTGTTCTTCTTGTCAAATATACTTTTATCTTCCTTTCTTTGGATATCGTAGGAAATCACAAATTTCCCTCGTGACGATTTTGTCAACTTCTTCTGTGATACATTCAAAAATGTATGTTTGTAGACAAAACAATACTTTGCTACCTTGTACTTCCGTATAATTCCATTTGCACACCGGAAAAGATTTTTGTCTCTATTACCGAAACTTTCAACATTGCTCAGAGAAGCTTCATTCACTGATACTGGATCAGATTCTATATTGGTTTTGCCAGCTTCTTCGCTATCGTCATAGGTTTTAATTACAGTGACATTTTCCTCCTGTGTTCTTTCAGGTTCTTCGTATTTTTCAATTGCAGGTGCACTCTTCTCATTTTCGAAATTCACTGTTTTACTCAACTCTTTAATTTTATTAACTTCTTCACGAAATTGTTTACTCATTTTACTACTCTCTTCGAATTTCTTCGATACATATTTGGCTAACCTTTGTCTGCCCATATCATTCATATATGTTGCTACTATTTTTGATCTCACCAAATTACGTAAAACCATTCGAGATTGCAATTTTGTCAGGCCCAGTTTTTTCGCAAGCTTTCCTTGGCATAAACCGTCGCGACCGCTCTCTTCCAGAATATTGTTTGCTTGCCTGAGTAATGGAATGTTCAGCCGTTGATTCGAAATATCCAGATCTGTAATAAAAAAGTTTTATAGTAAAGAGCCTCCTGAATTTTGTTATTAAATGTTTTACGTACCAACAAGATCTTCCTCTTCATGTACTTCATCCTTACCCCACAATTCCGAAATATCAACGTTTGGGTCTAACAGCTGGATTACGCGTATTGTTTTTTCCTTCGTGGGGTTATTTCTTCTTTGCCATTCTTTGTCTTCCGCATCTGGATATAATGTTCTATAAGGAACCCTCTTCAAAGTGGCAAAAAACGAATATTTAGTTACTTTTATCAAAACTCTATATCAATGTATATTATACATACCAGATCTGTTCGAACGACCTTCTGGAAAAAAGCTGTTTTGAACAATTTCTTAATGGGATTCTCAAGTTGCAATGTTTTCCTTATTTCGTCATACTCTGCAACATAGTTATCTTTTGACTTCAATTTTTCAATAACTTGATCAGCTAAATAGAGTATCTTTGGTTTTCGTTCAACAAAGAATCTTGGTAAATGAAGTAAGCTTCCACTGTAGCAGTGACCACCACTTTTTTGATGGTGCAACTGCTTCGTTATTAGCTTGTGCCGCAGTAAATATTTTCTGTGATAGAACAATGACTTGGGATCTTCCTTCAGTGAATTAAGGCTTAACTTCCCTTGTGTGACTTCGCCATGATACCTTGCCCTTCCCACTCGTTCCAAAAAACAGTATTGCATAACTGTTAATTCCAAGGTAGGACAAACATTATAGCCCATTAATGCACATTCGCGTAACTTTTGTGATGCAACTATAACTAGAGTTTGTTCATAATTTTGTATGATATCTTGTAAACTTAAAGTTTTGATAATACTACTAATATCTTTGCGAGTATAATATGTAGCACAAGAACCCTTGATACCATTTTGCGAATCCTCTATTGGACAATGAGGATAAATATCATTTGGTACATTTGCCTGAAAAGATAAGGTGTAAAACACAATACTTAACAATTTTACCAAATAATTACTTACCGGCTCCAATATCATTCCAAGATCTGGATCGACATATTCATAACGATCAAATATGACTAGCTTCTCTCTAGGTGATTCTAGCTTGTAAAACCTCAGTTCTCTTATTTGCAGGCAAATACCCCAAAGCTGCTCTATAAATGACTGAGAAAAAGGTAATGGATTGTGGAGCCTTAATGATAAGCGTTTCCATAATGCTGTAAAAGAAACATATTGAGTTCTATAAACCATGAAACCCACAAATATACTCAAAGAATACAGACCTTCTACGGTTATACCGTCGAGACCCTCCAAAGAAATTTCATCAATGACTGCATCAACTAAATTAATTGTGGGAAGAGATGCCATCTCTTCCTATATTCTCAATTAAGTTTGCGTTAAAAAAAGATCATAGAAGTTCTGAAAAATGATTCCCATAAGTAATGGGAACACTTGACTTTACACACAATCAGCTATTAGCCGTCACTGGCCGTCAATAGCTGTCACTATAGTTAACCAGGTTCATTGCTAGTCGCACTGGATCACACGTGTAGTAAGCAGTAGGTGGTTCTGTTTTTATCACATGAGAAAATTAGTGAAGCTCAGTGAAGCTGCACTAGATGGCGTTTAATAGTCTGTATTCTGATTGTAATCTTATCATCTTTTTCAAAGTAATTAAAAAATTCCTTAATAGCAGATTATACCATTAATTAGTCTTTTACTTACCAGATTACTTGAGAGAAAGATGCTGATATTGAATACAACGATATAATTGTAAAGAATGATGATAAGAGTTCAAGTTGCTATTCATAGCTTGCAATACTTCAAACACTACAGGTACTGCATTGCGTATCTTCCTTATATGCAAACTTCTTTAATCCTACATTTGTTAATAGTGTACAAGGAACTCGGACCATTGTCAGCATGAGTAATCCTTTAGCAGCTATTTGCCAAATGACATCTACATCTGACAAGAACAAAAATTTGGAAACAATATGCAGTTTAGTTAATGAAGCTAAGCAAAGACATGCTTCTGTAAGAATACTTTAATTTATAAGAGGATTGTTAGGTATAACATAGCATTTTTATTTTTTATACTTTAATCTTTTAGATTGCCTTTTTCCCTGAAGCTTGCGACTATTTGGCAGATAATAAAAGTAGTATTGTTGAGATGGCAGAACCACTGGATGGTTCAACAGTAACTGCTTATAAGAAACTTGCATGTGACAATGATATGTGGTTATCCTTTGGAGGGGTTCATGAAAAAGTAAGTCATAGCTAATTTACGACATCAACCATATCTATTAGGTACATGATTTTTTTTCAGTTAGGAAATGATGCCGAGAGGATAAGCAATTCACATATTTTAATTAATAACAAAGGTGACATCACCCAGGTATATAGAAAGATACATCTGTTTGACATGGAAAATAAAGAAACTGGTGTTCGGTTGATGGAATCAGATTATGTACAACAAGGTAGTGAAATTCTTCCTCCTGTTACTACACCTATTGGAAAATTGGGCCTTAGTATTGTATCCTTAAAAATGAAAACCAACTCCTTGAATATACATGGAATCTTTAGTAGCACTTCATTGTGTGATTAAATATTTTGACAGTACCTTAACAGTGAAACAGTGTTATGATATTCGTTTTCCTGAAATATCATTGGCGCTCCGAAACATGGGTTCACAAATTCTTACTTATCCATCGGCTTTCACATATCAAACTGGTGCTGCTCATTGGGAAGTCTTGTTACGTGCACGTGCCATTGAAACACAATGTTATGTTATTGCAGCGGCTCAAACAGGTGCACATAATAAAAAACGAGTTAGCTGGGGTCACGCTATGGTAAATATTAAACCAAATAATTTTTCAAATGAAAATTCAGTTGTAGGAATTAAGAACGAATATTTGAAAATTAAATATGTGATAATCCTGTTTAGATCATTGACCCATGGGGTGCTGTCATTGCTCAGTGTGCAGAAAAAACTGGCATTGCAGTTGCAGAAATTGATTTAGAAATTCTTAACAAAATACGCAAAAATATGCCATGTGATGAACATCGACGCACTGATTTATATCCAGTTATTCAACCTTTGAAGTAACAAGCATTTTCAGTAGGCATAATTTTTATTCAATAATGGATATATGAACGATATAGTTAGCTGGCTCAGTGAATTTATTTTATATTGATGTTAAATTGTCATGTAAATAAATATATCTACATGTATGTTAATAGAGAGGACGCGAAATGTAGATATTAAAAACAATTGAATTCATTGTGACACTTTATTCCACTTATGCACCACATGTCCTCATCATTCACATCATACTATGCGAAATGTGTTGTATTTAATGACCGTTAAAGGCAGGTACATATTAAAAAAACAAAAGAAATATAAGTTTGAAAACATTACATTCCATATTCTGCTAGGATTACAATGTTAATTTGTTTTACTTTGGTGATATATGCTTTCGATAGGATCAAGTCTCCCTTGGGTTCCTACAAGATCAGAATCAATTCCATTAAGAACCCAATTATGTTCACAAATTTGCAATGCTTCCCACTCAGATTTAAAAGCAGCCTTAGGATCTGGGGGCATCGACATTGCTGCTCCAGATACTTGATCTTGTAAGAGTCTCGAGGTATCAGCTGCATTATTTTCACCGAGTACCAATGTATAAATCGATCTAAGTCCAAAGACATTGAGAAAATACCATGATGCTGAAGAAACCCAAGCAGCATCCAAAGTGACTAGTTCTATTCCTCGTTGAAGCATAGGTTTGAAACGTAAAGTCAGTGGGAATGGTACCTTTGCTAGAATAAAATTTATCAAATTATATTTTACATTTTGATTGTCATACACACACACATATATATATATATATTTGTATTTGCAATTTATATTTACTGGTAACAAATCCAGAGAACATCCAATTGATCCAACCTCCAATTAGAACCATAGGTAAAACATTAGTAACATTTCCTTTTAACATATCAGTCATCATACTGGGATCACTCATAGGATTTTGTGAAACAGGAGCACGCTTTTGTGTTTTGAAATACCCTGTTTCCTCATTATTGAAAAAGTGGCGTCTCATAATAAATGCTGGTCGAGGTATATATTGTCCATTTTCTCTTAACAGTCTTGAACGAATCATCACCTGACTGGAATAGACAAAATAATTAAAAATTATGTCAGTTAACTAACGATTTACATGGCAATATTGTAATTGATAAGCATTCGATATTATAGAACCATTAATTTAAGGTTATATCATGTTTCTGCACACCTGTCTTGTACTTGATGTACTTCAACCTTCTTCTGTGATGCCAGTAAAATAGAAACATAATGCCTAATGATTCCAACAAGAAATGTAATTACAACAATGGGCAGAAATACCCAACCCCGAATATTAGGATCTAATAGCAATTCAGCCATTTTAATAACTTTTTATTAAACACTGTTAAACACATTAAACAGTAGCTGTCAAATATTCACAATGCAGCGACACCATCGAACATTGACTACGTTTACACGACGGTCTTAAACCGGTTTAGTTAATACTGATCAAAAGGAATCAAAAGGAGTAGACAAATAATAGACATTACTACTTGTAAGGAATATTTAGTATTGGTCAATTCTCTTAGATTAGTATTCCGGTTTAAGACCGTCATGTAAACGTAGTCACTTAATACCGTACTAATCTTAATATTCTGTAAACTCGCTCTAAATTAAAGAGCATTCACATGACACAGTTGTACATTTGTAAATAAAAATTCTGCCACTTCTTAAACGAGGCGCCACTGGCGATCGTGAACTACGCAACCTTCTTTAGTCGACTTGCCAAAGAGCCGTGATGTAGACCGTCCATTTTGTTTCAAGCCGTGAAACATACATACTGCATTTAGCGTGTTCCACGTTTCGTGTCATCAAGGACTTAAAAGTGAGTAATCGTGTATTGGCATTGTTCAATTAAAAAAATATTAACGAAGTTTTATAATTCAGTATTATAATGTTATCAAAATGAGAAAAATTTATTAGATTAAATAAAATACTTTGCAATATTTTCGGATGCGTCAGGCTTAGAGTACTTAGTCTGTTTACACGCGGTGCGGGATTTGCTCGCGTCGAGTAGAATAAATTTATAATAATCCCTAGTTTTGCTATAATTCTATTAGGTTTTGAATTACAGATATTTATTTCTATTTAGTCTTATTCCCAGATGTTATTATTACCATGTCTGCGAGTAAAATTAATCTTGCAATTGTAGCGCTCTAATATATTGTTCATTATTTCAATACCTGCCAACTATTATTTTTGGAATTTATCCTTTTTGAGTAACAAAGTCTAAATGATGACTTATCAACATTACCATCTTTCGCCTGAGTGCCAGTGATGAGCAACTACATCTGAGCATACCACTTGTTATAATTTATTTATTTTGGAAAATATTTCCATTGCCTAAATATTTATTTATACTTTTTAGAATGCGTTACGTGGCCGCTTATCTTTTGGCTGTCCTGGGTGGCAAGAATGCACCCAACCAAACTGATATTGAGAAGATCTTATCCTCTGTTGGTATCGAAGCTGATGCTGAGAAACTAAAGAAGGTGATTTCTGAACTCAATGGAAAGAATATTGATGAATTGATTACTAAAGGTAAATGCTGTTGGATTTTTGATCTTACATTCAATGTATTACATTTATAATCTTCTTTATAAATATATATTGTATTTTCCGATTTAAATCCTACACTTGTGTTGCGCTAAAAAGAAATTTTCTTATAGGACGTGAAAAGCTGTCCTCTATGCCAGTTGGTGGTGGTGCAGCTGCTCCTGCTGCAGCTGCAGCTGCTGCTGCTCCAGTTGAAGAAAAGAAAGGTGAGACTTGCAAACAATTTATTTTTAAATAATAAAAATTTTTTAAGTATGATGTTATATATAAATACCATCTTTCGACTGAAGCAATGTGCTGAAAATTTTGTTACTGATATCAAAATATTTATTAAGTAAAATGAAACGATAAGTTTATACAACAACTAACAAAAAGTAATTTTCTCAGCAGAAGAAAAGAAGCCTGCAAAAGAAGAATCTGAGTCAGAAGATGATGACATGGGATTTGGTTTGTTCGACTAAACATCTACTTGCCATCCAGAACAGTAAAAAGGATTTTATTCTCCAGCAGCAAAGCAATTCACCTATACACGTCATCGTATTTTATCTATTATTGTAACTTCTGCTGAAGAATAAATCGTTTTGAATTTTTATGACGTGTTTGTTTTCTTATTTGTTCTCAATCAATTAAAATTTCCCTGCTTTGATCTTGAAATTGATCTAATACGTATTGAAAAACCAAACAGTTTCAATCACGAACATTATGTTTTGCCATGAAGCTTGAGTGTCCAAGTTCAAAATGGAACAATGCGTGTACAAGAGTGCGTATTTCTGGTTCTGCCATATGTACAGTTTAAGAAATAATCGAAGGAATTCCGCAAGTACGCGAAGAATGTTCGTTCTATGATAAAAAAAGGGGTGGATAGATATAATAGACGGTGTGCGCGCCGTCGCGGCTTCATTCACAAGATTTACGGTGGGGAACAGTGGGGACTACCTTGAAGCGTTGGAGTGGGGTAGCACTCGCGGCCATCTTCCTGTATTCTTGCGCTTAAACTAGTTGGCAGATCTCTTCCGAATTTAGAAAGAGTTACAGTATCTATCGTTTGTCGTGAAATTCTTTTTCTATTCGAAGGTAGCAGTTGATACAGAAAGGAGTTCAGTTGAGAGTCGATAAAATTTAGATCGGTGGGACTATTTTCTTCGGAGGGGGCGGATGAGGCAGCCATGTTGGGTGTCAGCGGCGAACAGTGACGGCATTCGCTTTGCGTCAGTCGGTTGTGTGTGCGGATGACTGAATTGAGATTTTCGGGGTGAAAAACGCAGGAAATAACCAAGCCGCTGTGAACAGATCATTGTATACGGTCGCGCGAATATCCCCAGAGAGAATCACGGCTCAAAGATATTCGGAAAGCGCGAAGAGTGACTACGAAAATGACGCAGCTACTGCCCATAAGGTTTCAGGAACATCTCCAGGTAGGTGACCTGCTTTACGCTCGAACCGTCAAATATTTGAGCGTCTCATTATTATCCATTTGTACCGGAAGTTCCAACTAATGCGGGATGGGTGCTGGTCTTTTATACCGAGGTTAAATAGGACCTTAAGATTTAGGTATATATTGATGAATCCCGATCTACTGAGAATATCTATCCGTTGACGTTGACATGACAGCTATACTTTGGTATCTGTGTATTGGAGTATTATTCATTCTGACTTTTTTTTCGTGGCTCCGAATTCGACTCTTATAGGGGTAGTTCAATATCTCCGACCGATGCTCTCTCGTAGCGAACATCTCGACAAAATCAATGAAAATAGTCGCTCGATTTTTAACCGATAACCGCGATCTTGTCGCTAGTATGGATGGCAGGCATGGGCTCTAAACCCGGAACAGAGTGGGGAGCCACGTCTTCTCTTCTACTACGCCCCCCCCGTTTCCTACACCTACATTTTCCAAACACTTTTTTCAGTCTTCGTTATTATTCTTAGTGTTTAAATTCTTTGGAATTTTCAACATCTAAATGTCCTTTGATCCAGCAATATTTCACATTCAGACGTTTTTCTTAGTTGAAAACGTTTAACTATCAATGATGGCTAGTATAGTTTGCTGGGAATTACTTGATAATGAAAATCAAATTTTAGCACTTTTGAGGGAATACATTGGTGCTTATATTATAAATATCTATCTGTACTGAATGTCGTAATTTACATCACTTTGCAGAACTTGAAAAATTGTTCAATTGTAAGGAATCGATTGAAAGATATCTTCTGTTTAAAGTTATTGATTAGTAAAAATTTAATCAGTATTAATGTCCTTGGATTCAGTTTCAAAAAGGGATGATGACTTTGACCTTGATAGTATTCAATTTATTTATGCAATTAAATTCATGAACAATTTATTCTACAAATAAGGTTTTATTTTTAGATGGAAAAAGTATACGTATATTATCAGTTTAGAGAATGCACTCATGTTTCTTACCATAAAAAATAATTATCAATTTCAATGTCCCATATCAGTTTGACATTAGATGAGATAAAGATTATTTGATTTATTTGTAAACCTTGATAATAACTGTAAAAGCTTAAATAAGTAAACAAGGCTAAATAATTGATAAAGTTAATTGTGCCTGTTATTATTTGAATTGTGTTATTGGACAATATTGAAATTTCAGCTTACAGCTGTGGGAATCAATGCGAGCAATGTTGGCTTCAACTCCCTTACGATGGAGTCTGATAAATTTATCTGTGTTCGAGAAAAAGTTGGGGATACATCTCAAGTTGTTATCATTGACATGAATGACTCCGCCAACCCCATTAGAAGACCTATTTCCGCCGATTCAGCAATTATGAATCCAGCTAGTAAAGTCATTGCTCTCAAAGGTAAGAATGATATTTTATTTCCCAGGAAAGTAATGATCTGCAAAAGTATTTTTAATCAGTTTAGTAATTCACTGTACTTTCATATAAAATATATGCTTTATCCTTTCATTATCTGTTTCTTCATATTCCAATTAATAATAATATTATTGATTTTATCATCAAATGATAATTCAACAAACAGTTAACCTCAATTCTATCTTAAAGATGGTATTTGTCTTTTACATAAAACAGCTCAAAAGACTCTTCAAATATTTAACATCGAAATGAAGTCCAAAATGAAAGCTCACACAATGACAGAGGATGTCGTATTTTGGAAATGGATTTCATTGAATACTTTGGCTTTGGTAACCGAGACTGCAGTTTATCATTGGTCCATGGAGGGTGATTCTACACCACATAAAATGTTTGATCGTCACTCATCACTGAATGGCTGTCAAATTATAAACTATCGAACGGATCCTAAGCAAACGTGGCTTCTGCTGATTGGTATTTCGGCGCAACACAATAGAGTAGTCGGAGCAATGCAACTATATTCCGTAGAACGAAAATGTTCCCAGCCAATTGAAGGGCACGCTGCATCGTTTGCGCAATTCAAAATGGAAGGAAACGCAGAACCAAGTAATCTATTCTGTTTCGCCGTGAGAACAGTCCAAGGCGCTAAGCTTCACATCATTGAAGTTGGACAGCCCCCTGCCGGAAATCAACCATTCCCCAAAAAAGCAGTCGATGTATTCTTTCCCCAGGAAGCAGGAAATGATTTTCCAGTTGCCATGCAAGTCAGCTCGAAATACGATGTCATATATTTAATTACGAAATACGGTTACATACACATGTACGACATTGAGTCAGCGACCTGCATATTCATGAACCGGATCTCTGGAGAGACGATCTTTGTCACTGCACCTCACGAGGCTTCCGGTGGTATTATTGGCGTTAATCGCAAGGGCCAAGTTCTATCTGTATCGGTCGAGGAAGAGAATATAATTCCTTACATCAATGGGGTCTTACAAAATCCTGAGCTGGCTCTGCGTATGGCCGTGAGGAATAATCTTTCCGGTGCTGAAGATCTGTTCATGAGGAAATTCAATATGCTTTTCCAAAATGGCCAATATGCAGAAGCAGCTAAAGTCGCCGCGAATGCTCCAAAAGGAATATTGAGAACTCCGGCAACTATCCAACGTTTCCAGCAAGTACGTTCACACTTATCAGTTGGACCTGAAGCCCTACTTTATTCTTTTTTACATTTTCTAACATGCATATACTCATTTGTTCTTTCCTAGGTCCCTACAACGCAAGGACAGTCATCTCCGTTACTTCAATATTTCGGTATCCTCTTAGACCAGGGTCAATTGAATAAATATGAATCGTTGGAATTGTGTCGTCCTGTCTTGGTTCAAGGCCGTAAGCAGCTTCTTGAAAAGTGGCTGAAGGAAGACAAACTTGAGTGCAGCGAAGAACTAGGTGATTTGGTGAAGCAAGCCGACCCCACTTTGGCTCTCAGTGTCTATTTGCGAGCTAATGTACCCAATAAGGTCATTCAGTGCTTCGCGGAGACTGGCCAGTTCCAAAAGATCGTTCTTTATGCCAAAAAAGTCTCCTATACGCCTGACTATATCTTCCTCTTGAGAAATGTCATGAGAATCAATCCTGATCAAGGCGTGGCTTTTGCTCAGATGCTTGTACAGGACGATGAACCCCTGGCTGACATTAATCAAGTGAGTGCACTATTTTATTTTCCTCGCGTACCCTCAACCCTCAGTCTTTACAACATCTACATAAAGTTCCTACAGAAATCATACGTTGCAACAGTTTAAGTTACTGGTATAATGAGAAACCATTTACTTGTGCTATCAATAGATTAGAATAAAAAATAGTTTAGAAGAGATAAGATTCCACTTTCATAATATGGTTTATTTTTATTCCAATGTGAATATCCAGTCCTATAATAAACTCACAGATGATGCACATTTAATAAATTGATAGCAGATATGCTTAAAATATTGTCGCCATTTGATATACTTTTAAGTGAGTCATCGCAACTCGTAATCAGATTAAAACAGAAATTTATGTTTACCACAAAATATAGATAATTCAAGGTTAGGATAAAGTGTTTACATTTTATTTCCTTATTTTGTGCGACGCGCAATACGAACGCAAACATTTAATATATTTTACTAGCAATCATGTTTTCGTTTAATGTACGTCTGCAATCTAGAATTTTCAATTAATCTTCTGATAAACTTACTATATATATATATGTTAAATATTTGGTGAAGACATGAACATTATTGGGCGTCTAAAATTCACCAAGCGCAATTATACTCATAGCGTATAAATTATATAACAATAAGTAATGTCATCATGTAATACCATCCTTCCAATTGTTACAGATCGTAGACATCTTCATGGAACAGAATATGGTGCAACAATGTACGGCGTTCTTGCTCGATGCTCTTAAAAATAATCGTGCGAGCGAAGGTGCCTTGCAGACACGTCTCTTGGAAATGAATCTAATGTCCGCTCCTCAGGTAGCCGATGCTATCTTAGGCAATCAAATGTTCACTCATTACGACAGGGCCCACGTTGCCCAACTTTGTGAGAAAGCTGGCCTGTTACAACGAGCCCTGGAACATTACACGGACTTGTACGACATCAAGAGGGCGGTTGTTCACACACACTTGCTTTCACCCGACTGGCTCGTCGGATTTTTCGGCACACTGTCCGTTGAAGATTCTCTTGAATGTCTCAAAGCAATGCTTACTGCGAACATCCGACAGAATCTCCAAATTTGCGTCCAGATAGCAACGAAATATCACGAGCAATTGACTACTAAAGCTCTCATAGGTATGTGCGTTGTTCATTGTGTATTCATCTTTATTCGTTTCATAAGCTTTTAGTTATTCGGACGTGTCGGCTAATATTTTCGCATAGCAATGCATCATGAGAATATTCATAGTTGCAAATTGAGTTGTGGATTCTCTGCTTATAATTTTTTTTTTGTTATCGTGGGAGAGAATTGTGATAGGCGTGAATTGCGATTTAATTTCGGAATACTCTTGGCAAGGTGTGGCTGACTGATATATTATATGGAGTATATACCTGAGTCACGTCAGCTTGAATTTTGTGACATTGCGTTGCGTGCGAGCTTAATGTGTCAAATTAAAATGGTAAAAATATCTTTGGTATTAAGAATCAGCTAGTGGCCTCTAGCGTGAAAACATACTTCGCTTTTAAATGGAGTATCCTTCGATTAATTATTCATATGATATATATATTTTTCTTAGATCTATTTGAAAGCTTCAAATCGTACGAGGGTCTCTTCTATTTCCTGGGATCTATTGTGAACTTCAGCCAGGATCAAGAAGTTCACTTTAAATATATCCAAGCTGCGTGTAAAACCGGTCAGATCAAGGAGGTCGAAAGAATCTGTCGTGAAAGCAATTGCTACAACCCTGAACGCGTTAAGAATTTCCTGAAGGAGGCCAAATTATCTGATCAATTGCCACTGATTATTGTTTGCGACCGATTCGACTTTGTTCATGATCTTGTTCTGTATCTTTATCGGAATAACTTACAGAAGTACATTGAGATTTACGTTCAAAAGGTGAGTGTTCGCAGTGCTCCCGAAAAAGGCTTAAGTGGAATAAGCTAGGAACTCGTATAAAAGTAAAATGATTTCATATTTTATCAAATTTCTATAGGTGAATCCGTCACGTCTACCTGTTGTAATCGGAGGTTTATTGGACGTCGATTGTTCTGAAGATATAATAAAAAATCTGATTCTCGTTGTACGAGGACAATTCTCTACCGATGAACTGGTAGAAGAAGTCGAGAAGCGCAATCGCCTTAAACTTCTTCTTCCTTGGTTGGAGTCGCGCGTACATGAAGGTTGTGTGGAACCGGCAACTCACAATGCTCTCGCCAAGATCTATATCGATAGCAATAATAATCCTGAGAGATTCCTCAAGTAAGTAAAGTTTCATTGCGATTGTGACTCCTTTTTTTTCATATTTCAATTATATTTCCTTGTGTCAATACTTGAAGTATTAACGTAACATTACTTTGCGGTATAGGGAGAATCAGTTCTACGACAGTAGAGTGGTTGGAAAGTATTGCGAAAAGCGGGATCCACATTTAGCTTGTATCGCTTATGAGCGCGGCCAATGCGACAGGGAGTTGATTAGTGTTTGCAATGAAAACAGCCTTTTCAAGAGTGAGGCAAGATATTTGGTCAGACGTCGAGATCCTGATCTGTGGGCTGAAGTCCTCCTTGAAAGCAATCCTTACAAGAGACCACTAATTGATCAGGTAGGTGTTACAATGATTAAATACTATATTAAAATGGAAAAGTACCTGATGTTGCTGATATCACGTTGACAAATCATCGCAGGTGGTCCAAACGGCGTTATCGGAAACTCAAGATCCTGAAGATATATCCGTGACCGTAAAAGCTTTCATGACGGCAGATTTACCTAACGAGTTGATTGAACTTCTCGAGAAGATCGTGTTGGACAGCAGCGTCTTTAGCGATCATCGCAATTTGCAAAATCTTCTTATCCTTACGGCGATTAAGGCTGACCGTACGCGTGTCATGGAGTACATTAATCGCTTGGACAATTACGATGCTCCTGACATTGCCAACATTGCAATCAATAATGAACTTTACGAGGAAGCCTTCGCGATATTCAAGAAATTTGATGTGAATACGTCCGCCATTCAGGTTCTCATCGAGCAGGTTAATAACCTAGATAGAGCGTATGAGTTTGCTGAAAGGTACATACTATTTTCATTATTCAATATCTAATATATGTTTACTATAGGTCGAGGGTAATTCGAACCTTGTTTTCTTTTGATAAATTGTAACACACCGAACATGTGATTATACTGTTTGTCTAAGTTGTTTGATTGAGTATTTATATTCAGTTGTATCCAAAACAATTTTGTGTTGGCACTTTCAGATGTAATGAGCCAGCTGTTTGGTCGCAACTAGCACGAGCACAGCTGCAGCAAGGATTAGTCAAGGAGGCAATTGACAGCTTCATTAAGGCGGACGATCCATCCGCATACGTCGATGTCGTGGAAACAGCCCATCGCACCTCCCACTGGGAAGATCTGGTGCGCTACTTGCAGATGGCCCGCAAAAAGGCACGCGAATCCTTTGTTGAAAGCGAGCTTATTTATGCTTACGCGCGCACTAGCAGACTCGCCGACCTGGAAGAATTCATCTCGGGCCCGAACCATGCCGATATACAGAAGGTAAATACTGTAACAAGAAATGTTTTTAGCCAATAAATCAATGACGTAATTCAATATACATGAATTTTATACGCAGATCGGCGATCGATGTTTCGATGACAAAATGTACGATGCAGCGAAGCTGTTGTACAACAACGTGTCAAACTTTGCCCGATTGGCAATAACATTGGTTCATCTGAAGGAGTTCCAAGGTGCCGTAGACAGCGCCCGTAAAGCAAATTCAACGCGTACCTGGAAGGAGGTCTGCTTTGCTTGCGTCGACAGCGGCGAATTTCGATTGGCGCAAATGTGTGGCTTGCATATAGTTGTGCATGCGGATGAGCTCGAGGATTTGATAAATTATTATCAAGATAGAGGACACTTCGAGGAGTTGATCAATCTCTTAGAGGCGGCTTTGGGTCTTGAAAGAGCCCACATGGGCATGTTCACGGAGTTGGCTATTCTTTATAGCAAGTATAAGCCACAGCGAATGCGTGAACATCTTGAACTGTTTTGGTCTCGCGTCAACATTCCCAAGGTATATAGCGCTGTTCACGATTGTCACTTGACATCCTTGTCTTTCTATGACATTTCGTCGTCTATGTTACAATCCTTCTCCTTGTTTATAGGTGCTACGCGCAGCCGAGCAGGCACATCTCTGGGCCGAGCTGGTATTCCTCTATGACAAATATGAAGAATATGACAACGCGGTACTTGCAATGATGCAACATCCCACAGAAGCTTGGCGCGAAGGCCACTTCAAGGACGTCATCACTAAAGTAGCAAACGTCGAACTCTACTACAAGGCAATACAATTCTACGTCGAATATAAGCCACTGCTGCTGAACGACATACTACTGGTACTCGCACCCAGGATGGATCACACAAGATCAGTAGCATACTTCACGCGAACTGGTCATCTTCAACTAGTGAAACCTTATCTGAGATCGGTTCAGGCATTGAACAACAAGGCTATCAATGAAGCCCTCAACGGTCTCCTTATTGATGAGGAAGACTACCAAGGTCTGCGAACGTCGATAGACGCCTTTGACAACTTTGACAACATCGCCCTAGCTCAGCAATTAGAAAAGCACGAGCTTATCGAGTTCAGACGAATTGCCGCTTATCTCTATAAAGGAAATAACAGATGGAAGCAGTCTGTGGAACTCTGTAAAAAGGATCGGCTCTTCCGGTAAGATAACGCATCGGTACTAGGTTCTTCCTTGTTGCGAGTGCTACACGTATGCTTATCTATCTCATGGTTTCTGTCTCTAAACAGGGATGCTATGGAATATGCAGCAGAATCTCGAAACGCTGAAGTTGCTGAAGAATTGCTGGAATGGTTCCTTGAAAGAGGATCAAAGGATTGCTTTGCTGCATGTCTCTTCCACTGTTATGATCTACTTCATCCTGACGTCATTCTCGAGCTCGCCTGGAGACATCGTATCCTTCATTTCGCAATGCCCTATCTCATTCAAGTGGCTCGCGAATATATCACCAAGGTAACAAAACATTTCCTACTCATTTAAGCTTTATCGTTCATCAAGAATATTACGAGAATGACTTTCATGTTTATTTTTGACACAGGTGGATAAACTCGAAGAAGCGGAAAGTCGAAGAGTTGAGGAAACCGATCACGAGGAACATAAGCCTATGATAATGCGTAAGGAATTACATCATAATTCTTTTTTTTCTCCATGCAATACACATTTTTCTGAACCTTCTATGATTTTGTGCTCTTCTCTGATGCTGCAGCTGAGCCACAGTTAATGTTGACTGCCGGTCCAGGAATGATGGCACCAGGATACGCGCCACAAGTATATGCTGCACCTACTCAAGGCGTTTACGCACCTGCTGCGGCAGCCTATCAGGGTTATAGCATGTGAGGCACGCTCTATGACACATTCGACTATAATGATCAACGATATTTACTTTTCTATAAGATGTAACTAGAACGAGATTATGCCGTTAGTTCATAGTCATAATCAACTGTCGAAAAGAATTTCGTCAATGAGCAGACATCGATATGCCTTGACCGTTCTGCAAGAAACCGAATACGAAATAGAACAAAGTTATCGCATGTTGCGAGTATCGTTGGCTTGTTAATAAAAATAATCCGTCGACGAAGAAACGACGGCAAGAAAATGTAGCAAAAGGGAAACACGTTCTTTCGAATTTAATTTTGGAAAGATCAGCTACGACGCATGGGCTCGATCATGCAAACGGTGTTGCGTGGCTGGAAAGTGTGTATCGTAGTTATTGGGAAACAAATTCGCATTCTAATCCAGGAGGTTCTGATAAATTAACAAATGACAGATATATAATCTTGCACGATATTGGATGTAAGGGCTCATTCGATATTTTGCGTTTGGATGCAATACATTTTCGACATTTGACTGTGTCACGGAAATACACGTAAAGCAGTTGCGACAAGCTTTGAAGACGAGCGTGTACTGAGAATAAACCGGAGAAGAAGTCCACATTGCGCGCGCATCATTGTATCGGCACTATAGACAAAAAAAAAATGGGCCTCTAATAACGTTTGTCAACGAATCAAACGTTTTCTTTTCTTTGGTTTCCTTTTCTGTAACTGCATCGCTCTGACGCGAATTATATCCTATAATTATTCGAGACTCGATCGTCTTTACGCATTGTTGTTCTTGTAACAAATTGTCCTTACTCTAATTTGTCTAGCCAACGTATTAATGCGTGAGAATAGACTTTTCTGTTTCTTTTTGTCTTTCACTCAATCGATATTGATTTCGTCAATCTTCATTTAAGACGTTTTTAACGTCGTCGTCTCAGAATCTAATCTAAATTAAGTGGTCGGACGTGCAGATGAAAAAAAGAGGCCAATTTCATTTCTCACGAACATGCCCCCTCCCCCCACACATGAATTACGCATTAGGAGTGTAATCTGTCACGCGTAAGAATTTGCGTCAGAGAAGTGTTTTTTCTGTTTTAATTATTTACCTATGCAGTAAACTCGATAGTGCATTAGTTAGTGTATACATATTTGCGTACCTACATAACTAACCTATTATTGATCCCCCCTCAATCACTATCGAGAGTGCAGAACGAAAGTGACCGGGGTGGAACTATAGGAATTTGCGTTTGTTTATCGATGCGGATATTGTTTAACCAAGAAGCATAGTTGCTCCGCGTAATTCTATTATTTGTAATTTTTTCATGCGCGAGAGGACGGAACAATATTATTAAGTACTTTTGTTATGAGAGCTTTCTTTCATACCAATTTATTGAAATCAAAGTGATCGATGGTCGAGTGATGTGGCCGCCTTCGTTCGGTGCTTCCGAATCATCGGTAGCTTAGCTATAACCGTTAGTTAAAAAAAGAGTGTTAAATTAGGCGGTGTGCGTGCGTCAGGATACATACGACATTCCCCATGAAAGAAAAAAAAGAGTTGCAGTTGCATCCCCCCCACACACAAAATCAAATCTTGAAACTAAATTAAATTTCATTCGTAATTTTCATCTTAAACCGAATTGAGACCGGATCTTACCGCATGTTGTTATTGTATTGATATCATGATTATTTGAATATTATGAATTAAAGTAATTATTATTAATATTATTAAATATTGGAAAAACAAACATATAATAAACTTATACATAAAAAGCAGTAGTATAATAATATAATTGTGTATTGTAAATATATAATTATATTACTATATGTTATATTGGTAATTAATGTAACATGTAAGTAGTAGCATATACCATAAAAATACGAACGTCTCGTATTAACAAATGAAGGAAATAAATAAGTGATACAAAAAATAATTAATTGAATTGGTTGGCTGATGTGGAACAGAGTCATATTATGTTTTTGCTGTAAAATGTAAACGAATATGCCGCGATGCTATATATAGTTTGAAATAAACGAGAGCCTGTTTGACGAAAGCAACTTTCTTTTAATTTTTTGCGCACCTTTAATTTTTTTGGGATTCCACATGAGATTCGATACAAATATTAACAGTTTTATTTATTATGAATTTAATAAAATTTATACGAGGCAGTATCTTATTACAAGTCAGCTATACGAGTAGTCTTGAACTTTTTCACTGAGCGTTCTGCTGGTCGAGTACACAGCTCCCGACCAAACAATTGTAATGTTGTTGATTCCATGTAAATGTCAAACACAACAACTTCCTTGGGTATTGCTGGAACATAGAATTGAATGTACATTCCTATTTAATCATATTCATGTGATCAGAAATATAATAAGAGCAAAATCTTACTTCGAATGATGTTATCCTTTCCCAATACTCTGAAGGTACCCTTTGTGTCTTGTATTATAATCCCAGTAATTCCGACGAGACTCGGGCATTTTGATCTTGATATAGTGATTATTGCTCCATGAAAGTCAGCCTTTAACAATTTTTGACTCACATTATCCCAATGCACGTCTATTGGATTATCTGGCAAAGCAGCAAAATTTTTTACATCAAGCATGTGCTTCATGTAATCCAGCCACATTTTGTTTAGCGGTACCATGTCTACATATTTCAGGGCACTATTTCTAGTAATTTTATTTATACCCAGGAGTATACGTTTTCTTGTAGTTAAAAACTTTCTTTTCTTGGGTTTGTGGCGTATCCTTTTTGTTCGATGTTTATCAAATAAGAATGTCTAAAGAAACAACACAAAGTATTATTTAATCTCATTTCACAGAACAGTATAGCAATCTTACTCTATTACTAAAAAACCATACCCTCTTTAATTCATCGCTTATAGCCTTAATGTCAGACTGCGGTAAAGTTTGCTCCAAGAATTTTAACAAATACTTCTCACGATTCTCAGAAGTGCAAGCTTTATTAGTAATCTTAAAAGGAAGAGGTGTGCACACATTATCTATAAAAAATATCATAAGAGAATTAACTCACAATTAAGTTTCAAAGATTTCTGACAGCATTATATATACTTACGTGCTTTAGTATCCATTACAGTTACAGGTTTGCAAATTGCCAAATTTGTTTAGGTGTTCATAAGAGTAAGAAATACGCCTAACGTCAATTACTTCATCTTCTTTCAAAGTGGTTTTATACTGTCAAATTGATTAACCTAAAAGAACGTGAAACCACGTGAAACAAGTTCAGAAACTCTCGCATGTCCTTCCTTTCTTTTATACCTGCGTTTCCAATGGGGGACATGTGCCAATAACTGGCAAGACTGCTTGTTGGCATTTATGATGAATCCTGATTGGTTAACTGCATATTCGTTGGCGCGGAGTACTAATATTTATATTCAAGTATTTTTTTTTCATTTATTCATATTTTGTTTTAATTACAACCCATTATTTTTTTCATATTTAAATACTTTATCGATACCTATAGATGAATTTCATTTCAGGACATTATTCTTGATAGAATCGCAAATATATGATGACTCTTTTACGCGTTACATTGTTTGCGCCTTTTACACTAAAATTTATGATATTTTTCTTCGATATCATCATTTTAAAGATAACGAAAAATATTAAGATATGATTGATTGAAGTATGAGGAAATTCTCCACGTTTTCAAAGAGCCGACGATATTGACGAACCATTAATTAAATAAATACTGTTTCGTATGCAAATATCACAATATAATTGCCTGTCAAATTTAATATGTCGCGTTCGGAATGATATAACATTTAGATACCATTTGCTCGATTACCAGTTCACTGTATTATTATAATACCAGTTAGATACCAACAAATATCATTTTAACAAATTAGTGAAGAATTGTTAGCGTACATAATTTTTTAAAACTTTAAGTAAAACAATTAAGTAACAAAGTTTACTGACCAATTTAGAACGAAACGGTAATAAATCTCGTTAGCTATTAAAAGTTCAGATCTGTGTGAATAAATCATAAAAATTACAATAATTATCGATATTATTAAATACTTCACGACTTGATATAACAGCAACTACTGGCCAGTTATCAAATATACATGGTAAATTATTATCACATGAAAATTCTTCCAAAGAATCGATGAGTATAAATAAACCCAGATGAAACACCAGACACAATTGATATCGTACGACAGTATCTACTTTTTATATAAATATTGTTATAATTATTAAAAACAATGTATAATAAAAATATAGTCTGAAATACAATTTGAACTCACTGCGATAAACGTACAAGATGCAAGTCAGAATGATACGAACAAGCAAAATTGTTATGAACACACTCATATATACAAAGTTATTAATTTTCTACACTCTATTGTCTCATATGGTGTGCTACATTGCTTTTAAAATTAGCTGCGTATGAAAAATCTCATTAATCAACTGTTTTGTTTAACAGTGGCGTTACCCATCAAGGGCATGTACAATAATGCTACAGTAATGCTACATTAGCAATATGAATTGCGGCTCGACCGCACATCTTAATTCTAAAAGTATGGGAGGACCAGAACCACCATTTTAATTTCATATTGTTTAGACAATTAAACAGCAGAGCTCTAGTCACATGGTTATTCTAAGAGTTCAGCAAAATTTCAGATTCTCTTGTTAACTGTTATATTCTAGTTCTATCTATAAAAGGTGGTACGGTTACATAGGGCTAGTTGTAACGCTACTATTTTGCTGAGAAAGTGGTCCTCCATTTAATACTATATGATCGGAAGCAATGGCCCCATCGTCAGCACCAATTTCATCGAAACTACCTATTGGACCTGAACCACTTCGTTTTTCTTCTATTTCAGCTTCTGCAAGCCACTCGTATATTTCGTGAGTATACATCCTTCTCTGCAATACTTCTCTTGTTCTAGGACGAGAGCCAATAAAAGTAGTAGTACCCTAAACGATGATTACAATTACAATTGAATGACCTGTTGAATATTCATGTGGAATAAACAGGTTCTACTTACACCCACAACCAGTGTGGATCTTAGTTGCTCCAAAAGCTGAAAATCTTGCACTATTGATTGAAGCTCATCCCATCTAAGTTCAACTTCCTCGTGCAGCATTTTTTCCTCTGTTGAAAAACATATTGTTATACAAAAATGAATTTGTTCCTTGTGATAATTGATAGTCATAAACTAACCATCGCGCTTCGACGTAGAACGCTTGTATTGTATTCTGAATCTGAAAGCTTCAAGGAAACTGGAAACTACAATTGTTAAAACAATCATAGTAACTAAGTAGAATGTCATAAAATATGCCCGAGTATACAGGCCCACAGTAAAAGCATAAGCATTCATCACAATAAACCAATTGTTTACTACTGTCAATTCGAACAGCGTCATTCCACTTGCCATCAAGTTGTCAAACGTATTCAAATAATAATAACCTAAAGATGTACTTCCGTTAGCTGAATATTTATAAAAGTCTTCAACCGTTGTGTTCCTGCAACGTATGATAAACATCAACAATGTTGTAATTCCTTGATTATCTTTACTAAATTAATGTATAAATTTGATGCTACTCACTGACAACAATTTCGCATATCGTATCCAGCAAACAGTTCCATCCCAATAATGGCAAAAAAGTAGTACAAAACAAGCATGACAATAGCGGTTGAGCACATTAAAGGTGAAAGGATGACCAATGTGCCAAAGACATCACGATATCTCTTTTTGATCTTAAAGAGCCTCAAAAGTCGAAGAGGTCTAAATAGCACTAAGAACGCTGCATTAGGGAAGATCGTCAATCCAAACGCAGCAATCAAGGTAGAAATAGATGCGCCAAGGTCAAACAAGTTCCATCCAGAGCTAAGATACCGTCTTGTCCCAAGTCCCAAAACCTTTATCAGGGCTTCAGACACAAAGACTGTGAACCAGTAGTTAATATAAAAATGAATTCACATTAAAAAAATAAGATTACTCAGATTATTCTAAATTATTAAACTCACTTCCACCAAATAGTAATGTGTCCCAACAAGCCGCAAATGCATGAGCAGACTCTTGCAGACTATCAAACGGCTGTATCAATCTCACCAACATGGCGACTGCATTGCCAATAATTGTTGCACCTGCAAGGGGACTTTTAGATTTAATTGGTGAAACTATTTGCTGGAATACTTACACACTATAGATTCAAAATAAGGCCATATAATGGCCGCATGTGCTGCCGTGCAAAGTATTTGCAAAGGCTGCCAGGCTGCGTGATACCACGGTATACTGGAATACTGTAATTCCCACTGGAGCGTGGTAGCGTCATAGACGTTGACGAATTCATCAACATTGAGAGCACCACTTCCTGACGAATTCATGTAGCGAAACATCAATATAACATCTCTGGTGGCTAAAACGGATAGAATCGTATAAAATGACTGTGAGCGTTTTACAAAATCTCTAAGTTTCTAAAAATCCAGTGGTATACATATACGTCAGCATAGTTAATGTGCAATACGCACATTTATTTGGAACGTAGTAGCGCATGAGTCCCTCGAATTGCCTAAATCGCATCTTGTCTGGATTCTGTTTTGAAACCAATAATTTAAAGGCATGCTGGCAAGCTTTTCTCTTGTGAAGCAGTAATTTTTTAAATTTATCTCTTTCCGCCGATGTGAACGTCTCGTTCACTACAGCCAACATCAAGTTCATCATGACATACAGCATTGTACACAAATAGGATACAAAATATATGGCGTACCATTTATTTGTCGAATATGACGGCATCATGACATCTGGAAAGCTGAAATATTATAAAATATCATATATCATAATAATAGTCATGATAGGCTACGTTTAATTTCTGATTAAATCACATTAATGTCTTATTGTCAGTGTAATATATTTAAAACTGACAATTGTGTATGTAACCTAATTAGATAAATTTACAAAGTGATATCTTTTATACCGTTTTAAACTTCACTAGGAACAGTGACGTATAATGCTCGATAAATATTTGTACGGAACAAATTCCTTGCAAGAAAGCTTCACACTCCAAGAGATAATTAGATAATTTCATAATGGCAAACTCAGAGTTCATTGGTATGTATTATTAGTCAAATTAGTATCACTCTTTGGATTGATTTTTCGTAATATCCTTAGTTCGTAATTACTATGATTAAGATTATTGGATAGTGGAATTTGCTACAAAATTGACCATTTTCCATTTTATTACTTACTTTGCTGTAGTAAGCAAGACGAATAAGCTGACGAAGCTGTCCTGGAGTGTGACAAAGTTTCTGTTCATCTCAGAAAACATATAATAACCCAGCACCATGTATGTGCTTATGAAAAACAATAGGAGACCCAACATATCCAAAATCGGTGGCAAAGTTTGTAATATTTGCCTAATGAATCTTCTGACGCCACCACAATATTTCGTATCCACCAGAAAAATGGGCCTTAAAGCGCGCGTCACACGAAAATGCGAGGATTGTCGAGCTAACACTGTCATCGCTTCTACAAACATGATAGCCAAGGTGATACACTGAAAAAGAAACAGAGTATAATTGTTAATTAGAACAGAAAGAATCATCTAGCAGAAATAATCATTTAAAGTACATCAGTCTAGTATATAAAACTAACTTCGTCTTTGATATATTAAACACGAAATAATTGTACTCTCTATAGAAAATTTATCATACAAATTAATTGTAAAAGATTTTAGCGTAATACTCCTTACTCCACATTTTGTTCAAAGATTAATTGACCAACAAGTTTTACATGGTACCAATCACAAAGGACTGCCCTCAGCGATGAGATCATACATTATATGCGAATGTGAAGTCAAAATAGTAAATTATTATTATTCAGTACTACACTGATCGAAAAACTTGGTATTTAATGCATAAGTAAAGTTCATTGATCCGAATATAAATCAACGTATATAACAGACGGAAATGCGATATATCGTAAAGTGCTGATAAAAGTATCTGTAGGAATGAACAAATAGAAGTTATTTGTATGTATTATGCGCATACTATTTGTTACCTTTGACCTTTTAAAGCATTTCAACGTGCATAAATCTGTACAAAGTATGATCGCCTAAGTTTTCCGTCGGCAAGAATCATTGCCCTGTTACTTGAGTCAACTGATCAGCATAATAATATTATCGGGTACTGTAGTACCGATGTTTTTCCATAGGTCAGTAGTACAAAAGTATATTGAAATACTGACATATGACTTTTTACAAACAATAAAAAAAGTGGAAATATTTTTTATCAAAGTAAGTTGATAATAAATAATTCCCAATTAATCAACTTGAAAAAAAAAAGAATATATGCCCAAAGAACCATTATATGGTTCAGTGTTTCTGGCTTAATATATTTTGTTTCATATGTAAACACCAACGTATTTAGTTCAATAAAGCTTGTATTGTCAGGGAGGTTAGGTAGAATGCATGTTAACATGTAATATCATCCGTTTAAGTGATTCAATCGCACCTTATATACATAATCATTAAGTCCGCTTTCTGTCGGATTTGTCTGGTTATCAATATAAGCTCTATTGCAGTCTGGCACTTAACGCGTCATTACATAATGTGCAGGGCAGTACTTCACAGAATTTTTGTAAATTACCAAATAATATTTTACAGTCTGCTTTGAGTCGACCAATATTTGTACAATACGTATAGATTATCATATTACAGAATTTATTCTATAAAAATGACTGTTATGGCTCATTATATTACAACAGCTGATTTGATTGCACAATAAGTAAATGATATATTTATGTATTCCATTGAAATTATGTATATATGTATACATATATGGCAAGTTGCGTAACTTACATTAGCATCACGTTACAGATACTTATTAATCCTGTTAGCGTAAATTACTCACCTTTAACATTGTACGTTTGTGCTTCAAAATGGTTCCCCAGCCTATCCATCTTAGTTTCAGCGCCAATTCAATCCCAATTATGATAAGTGCAAGAAGCTCTATTGACCCGTGTGTCCATACAGGCAACTGTAAAGTTCAAGTTCCAGTTAAAATAAGATTTAGGCTAAAATTCAACAAAACATTCAAATAATGCTGCGTTTTCAAGTTTCAGTAGCAAATAATATTGCTGCAAGATAATAAAGACTCAACCGGAAATAGCGTGTAATCATCTCCGCATGACTGCCTGCACAGGTACAAGACATTTCTAATATACCGGGTGAAATAAAAAAACGTTTAATTTAATATATCAGTAAATATTCGACTATTTCTCAGACTTTGTGCGTTTATACGTACAAATGTATTAACGAATATACATAATAACAAAAGGCGAGCACAGTATTTACACGTATTACGACAGATGCGTCTTTATTGTGATGAGCTATCGTTTTGCGTTAATGTTTCCTCGATTTCAGTATTGTATCTCACGTGCAATAACGGATGTCTAAATGGAGAAGAATACTTACGCGAAATAGAGGAACAGCCGGTTCCTCTACAAAGGCTAGAGCCAAGAGAACGAACGATGTCAACAGGTCAAGCCCATAGTACCAACTATTATGTACTAAAAGATAAGCTGGTAAATCTTCTGGATGTCTCGGGTGGGAATCGAACTTCTCATTATTCCTACCCTCCTGGAAAAGAGAGAATGCTTCGTGCGTTATCATTAATAGCCCAAAAAGACGATTAAATAAGGTTTGATGCTTACTTCTAAAAAAATAGATGCTTCATGATAATTCATCTCCCAGTGCATATCAGCATCTATGACAGCACTGTGCCTTGCTATGGCCACATTCTCTGTTACAGCATCAGCATCGTATCCACCGATTCCAATTCTGTGGCTCATTTCATTAGGTGTCTCCATGTTTCTGCTGGAGGACATCCTTACGCGGCCGTCTGAGGAATGGCAAGACAACATAGAGCCATATTCTAGAAAAGATTAAAAGCACGCAGAGGCAAATGAGAAAAGCGAGTTTTTAGAGCCACAAGCCTGACACCGAATTGATTGCTGCTCTGAATAAATAATGAATATTATTAGGATTATTAATTAAAGTCATACACCTTTGATTTGATTAGTCAGCATTAGATAATCTAGATAAGGTTACGTATTATCTTGAGAATTCATGAACCATTCTAGTAAGAACAGTTATTACTCTTAATACTTTCTATAATAAATTATTGATAGCCTAATAATTTATTATAGCTCTCCTGAGCATTGTTCATAACGGCTATCCCATATTTCGTGATATTTCGATCAATCGATATTACAGGGCGAAGGAGACGCGATCACGTCGTAAAGAGTGAACTTATCCTCGGAAATCTCTTGATAGTCGTGTAAGATGTCCGGTATATATATATATCTTTACGTCACTAAACTTATCAATTTCACAATCCAGATTTAGACTCATAAACGTACATCTTATTGGATGAGAGTATCGAGGCTAATGTGTCGGATAAAGAGATGATCTCTATCTGTAATACAGGAGTCATTCTGAGCTAAATCAAGAATTTCTTTAGTCTCAAATAATAAATATTGAACTTTAAGAATTGCTCTGTTCACTTTAAACGTAAATGAAATTTACGATCGGATGATCTGTTCACAAGACCATTGTTGTAATGCATATAACAAATAATATATTATTTATAACAGAAGGAATCGAAACATACGGTTACGTATGAAGAGTATGTACTTATGTGAAATATAGTGACATGATACAAGATACAACAAATATATATTTTATTGAAAAAAAAACCAATGTGCAATCGAATGAAAAATGTCGAAAATGATATATGTATGTTCAAAAATTAAATGATTAAGATTAATAATGAAAATATATATTTTTAGAGTGAAGATTGACTAACATGTAGTTCAAACATATTAATCAAGTTACAGGCATCCTCAGCCATAATGTCAACATTGAAATCCATCGATGTATTCGTATCGCCCGCATTTAATCGATAATGTCTAACTGTAAAAATTCACAAGTGACCGGACGTGTGCTTGCCCAATATACGTGGGTCAATTCCATACTCCAGTCAGACAACAGAGGAATAAAAGTGAAAAGAAAAGCGGAAGAAAGTGTCATCTATCTCACTTGGCTTAAAGGTGTAGTGCACTTTCTCTATTCTGTGGCATAATGGAATCCGAGCATTATAGGTGCGAATGAAACGTCACCGCTGCTATTCCCTTTTTCGTGCAGAATAGAAAAAGCGTTCTTGACAGCGAAGCTCAAGACATGGCGAAGAACTGACTCACTAGGACTGGATCCGTAACTAACATCCTGAGCCACTGCACTGGTATCATCGTCGAAACGTTGATATCCACCAGGAGGTCCTGCACTTGTAGGTGAAGTCATGACAGCACTGTGACAGCAGGACGACACAAGCCGCGAACTACGGCTTGTTACCCGGCCGTCTCTTCTTCCCGACTGATTTCGTGATTCATCCTCACTATCTTGTACTATAGCAAATTCTTGCACTTGCTCAGATTCAACTGATGTATCGACGGTGGCGAGGAGTATGGAGATCATTAGTTATGAAAGTCAATCGCTAAGTGAGTTCTGTTTTATCCGAGTTCCACGTGGTAAGGCAGCGTCCCATAGAATGACATCTCCTGAACTTCATCATTCAAAGATAAATCCTTTACACTGAGAGAGTTGACTATGGTCTATCGATGTATTTTATATTTATAATTGAGTGAGCTCTGGAACTTGGAATAGTATGAAGGATGAGAAATTGAACAAGGCCTCGTTCTGTCTTTTTGTAGGTGTCTTACTAATGGTAGGTAAGATCTTTTTGTATTGCGACTGAGCCAAATTTTTGGATCAAATTACCCTGATGGGGTATTACGAACCAGATAATTGATATCTGGCCACTTGTTCAGAACTGTTGTAGCAGCATGTCTAAATTCTGCTGAACCAGTGAAACTCATGTGCTACAGTTGACTTAGTTCACAGAAAAGGCGACCGTAGCTCAGCGGCTAAGGTAGCGGATTCCCAACCCAAAAGGTCGGGGTTCGGCGCACAGTTCCTAGCGGTATTCACCAATGGGTTTTCATATGAAAACTTAAGTGAGTATTTATGCGGATTTCGCCTAACACTGTTCGGATTCGGTGTATAAACTCGGTAGGTCTCTCCGTGAGTTAATCTCTCCGTGAGTTAAACCAAGAGTTGCTCACATGAGATACAGCAGCATGGCGATGCAACTGTAAGAAATCTTCTTTCACAGGATGGAATTGCAAGCTCACCCACTGCGTTTCACCAGGATTAGACTAGTACTGTAATAATTTTTTGAATTTGAATCTTTATGATTTTTTAGAGACACTTTGAAACGGAACTACAACCTTCGCTTATACTACATTGATCCATAATCAATGTCCGATGTATTTCAGGATTACTAGTAAGGAATTCAGTGCTCGGTTAACTTACCAACTAAAATTGTCCCAGGATAATAGCCTTAGGGACCAGTTTCAATTTCACATACGACCGGAGATCTCCGAAATTTTGCAACTTTATGTTCGCATTCAGAGTTCCTTCTAAATCAGTTGCTTTCTGTCTTTCTCTTTTTCAAATTAGAATCTTATCAACTTACCTGCGAATTCGCCAACGAGTTGGCTCGTCTCCGTGAGTTAAAATAAGAGTTCCTACGTGAGATACAGCAGCACGATGCAACTGTAAGAAATCTTCTTTTTTAGGATGGAACTGCAAGCTAACCCACTGTGTTTCGCCAGGATGTAGTAGGAATTCAGTTTGGTTAACTTGCCAACTCGAAACTGTCCCAGGATAAACAGCCTTAGGGACCAGTTTCAACTTCACGTAAGACCGGAGATCTCCGAAATTTTGCAATTTTATCTTCGCATTCAGAGTTCCTTCCAAACCAAATCTACCCATTGAAAGCCACATCGGTTCACTGACATCTTTGAACGCTTCCAAAACTTCGACTTTTCCAAACCCATGTGGAAAACAAGGAAGGAAGTTCATATAAAACAAAGCAGATCTCCGAAATTTTGCAATTTTATCTTCGCATTCAGAGTTCCTTCCAAACCAAATCTACCCATTGAAAGCCACATCTGTCCACTGACATCTTTGAACGCTTCCAAAACTTCGACTTTTCCAAAGCCACCGTAGCCATACAGGTGTATCTAGGAATTGATGTTACAAAGAACACTGTTGCCCATTGTACAGTGGTGAATGACAAGTATACTTACGAATTTTTATGGGCATGAATTTCCGCTATTTTTTCTGGCCTCATAGTGCCTAAATGTAATTTTCCCTGCACAGGCTCCAGGATTAGTGGGTCCAAATATTATCGAGAGTGTTCTACTTTCCATTCGCTGCAGAGCCAAGATCATACTCGATCCCGTTGTCTGTCGTTCTTTCAAAAACTACACCGTATCGGCCATGTTGTAAATGAATTACTTTGCCAAGTGTACAAGATGTCAGCATAATAAGTAGACGTACCTTAAAGTTCTTCTCATTGTCTACAATAATTGCCTGAAGCTTGATTTTATTGTCGCTCATATTGCGAATGGTCAGTTCTTTGGTATCAGACTTTCCTGCTTTTACGCTACCCCAAACTAATGCTGCGTGAGTGGCTCTTATAGGTATCACACTTCCAGAAACTGGAATACTGGATACCGAACTGCTTGGTGAATTTCTGCCAGAATTTCTTGACCTACGTTATAGTTAAATTATTTTCATATTTTATTTATAAGTTCAGTTCAGCAATGCTCAGTGTGAAGTACCTGTTTAGTGCTACACTATGTGGAGAATGAGGCGACGATGGAGAACCCATCGCATCGAGATGTTGTGGTGTTTCCGATCGTAGTAAATTATCATTGGCTTGTTCGGATTTTGAAATCTCTTCCCCCACCACTGGATAAAAATACACGTCACTTCCGGCTAAGACTTTTACTACAGCATACCTGAGAATAAAGATCAAGATAGACATTGAATTACAGACGTAGTATTAAACTTACCTATCAGGTGTATCAGTGCTAGGTTTATGAGTAATCATAAAAACGACTCTCTCGCCAATTTGAATAAACAAATTGTCTGGAGTAACGCGAAAATCGGAATTTAGATTTCTCATGTTATCACTCTCGACCACAGTAGCCTTGAGCAATACGGGCACAGTTCCCGAATTAATAAGATTCAACGGTTTGCTCTCCCTTCTGGGTATTATAATTGGCAATGGCGTATCAATCGCTTCAATTTTACACGTGCCTATGTAGCCTATTAATGGAAATTTTTGAAGTACTTGACCATTCCCATTGCCTGTATGAACTTCGACGACGAAATGGGCGATTATATGGTGCAACCCTTTTTCAGATGTACTAGCTGAATTAAAAAAAAAAGTAGAAAGAACTGTTACACTAGTTAACACATTTAAATATAAGTAAAAAGTAAGTCTTACAGTCAAAGGAAGTCAAAGCTGTCCCTTTAAATAAAATATTTGTAGTATACTGCTGTCGCGATGCGAGTGTCAAACATTTGATATCCCCACTCTCATTTTCAGGAGTTATCGTTTCATTAAGAGAGTTATCGATGCTGAATAATTTTGGTCCAGTCTAAATATCCATACAATTTTCTTAATGTAATTTTTAGTTAAAGAAAAGGTACTCAAATATACAAGCAATATTTACCTGAGAAATGTAAAGCTTCACCGGTAGATCAACATTATTTTTATTTTCCACTGTAATTGGCAGAGACTTCTGAGAATTTTCTGCAACCAACTGAAAGTTGAGTTCCTTATTTCCAGAGTGTTCAAATATACAAGCAATATTTACCTGAGAAATGTAAAGCTTCACCGGTAGATCAACATTATTTTTATTTTCCACTGTAACTGGCAGAGACTTCTGAGAATTTTCTGCAACCAATTGAAAGTTGAGTTCCTTATTTCCAGAGTGCGTTAACACAGTTAAGTGTGGTTCTTCTGGTACAAAACACATTGTATGCCTGATGGACCAATTGGAGTGCGTCACCATATCTGATATTCGTAGATCCATTGGCACAGTAAGTGATTTATCCATTCGGGGTACTTTCACTTTCACCTAAAAATAATTCAGCCAATTAGGAATATCTTCTTGTAGTTGATATAATAGAAAAAAGAAGCGGTATACCTTAACAGTTCTACGTGCATTTGGTTCAATTAATATTTTTTCTGACGGTAAGCGTAATTCTATTTTATCTTTTATCCCGTCAGTTTCATTCAAACTAAAAGTACACATTATCCATCTATCCCCTTTATTCGATAATTCAAGCTCTGTTTCTCCCGGTACTCCAACAATGCAGCTGCACAATTCTGTATTCTTGACAGTGACGGCATCTTCTACAAATATCAGTACAAGTGTAAGATTATGTACAGAGATAAAAATACAGCTTTCAAGATGAAAAGTAAAACTTTACTATTGGATTTGGTCAGGACTTTGAAATTTTGTTGCTGTGAAATCGTGGATGATTCAAGTTTGACATCAGAAACAGACGATTCCTGCTCTTTGATCCTCCCTTCAGCATCTACAATTTTTCCAGCTCGATTGTCCGTAGATTCTTTTCTCTCTAAAGTTGACACTGCCTTTTTCTCTCTCGATAAATTCTCAAGATATGAACCTTGTAACAGAGATTCCAATTGTAAGGAGGTTGATCTAACAGGCATGTTATTTTCCTTAACTGGTTCCGGACTGCTTTTGACAAATATATTTTGGCCAGCAATACTTTGTTCCATACGTTTCTTGTTCTCTGTATGCAATTATTAAATTTCACAAAATTACTGTCATTTAAATATCCCATGTTGTGACTTAAGTGAACATATTACTCGCGCACCTGATATAGCTTCCGAAAGTTGAGGCGTAACATGAGAATTATAATCAAGATGAGAAGAAAATGAGATTTTCGAAGGTGCAGTTTCATGTGGAATAACATCATCACCTATCATTCTGCTATCCAGTGAAAATCTTTCAGGCTCATTAAATGACGGTGAGTTCTTTTCTAACTTCTCATTCTGAATAGTAGGTGTAGTCGGCATTGATTGTCTAGTAGAAGGGAGCAAGGTGTACGTAGCGCTTTGAACAATTTCGGCTTTATTGAGTTTGTTCTCCGAACACTTGTTCCTTTTCTTTTTAGCCATCAGCAATTCATCCACTAATCGTCTAGGCGTCGCATCGTCGATGTCCTTCAGTGCTTGGGCAATTGTACTCAAACTCATTAGACTGTGTTTCTTTTGAGCTTCGCTACTATTTAACGTAGGCTTTGGACTATCGTCAGACTTATACACGGAAGATGCTGAAATAAATCTTTGAATAAAACAAACAAATCCTAAACAAAAACAAATCATTGTAATTAATAAAATTGTATACTCTCTGTCTGTAGTGTCACATCGACGAGAGGCATTCTGTTACCCAGTCTCTTTGGACTAGTAATAGTTGCTCCAAAACTTGGTCGTTCTATAGATTCTACTTCTGAAAGTTGACCCATTTTCTCACATTTCCGTTTAAAGAATTCACCTATGGATACCTTGCGTCCCGCACAAGATCTGTATAATACACAAAATACAGTATGTTTCACATTTTACACACGCTCCATATTATGTACATATCATCTATGTAATTAACTTACTCCAAAGAAAGATCTAGGTCTCCAATAATTCCTGAGAAGCAAGAGAGTTCCAGACGCTCCTCTTCATTATTAGTAGTCCTTGGTAATGCATAGGAGCAATTTTGTTGGAAAGACACTTCATCAGCTAACATACGACTGCCTGCCTGAGAACCTGATAGAAAATCTTCATTCTCAAATTTAGCCATTAATTCAGCAGCTCCAGAATTAAAGCTGAATCCTGCTGAACTCGCTATAGAATTCGACGGAATAGATTTTTCTTGTGAATTGCTCATTCCGGAGGAACGGGCTGTTATTTCAGCTGGCTCAAACACAATCTGAAAAAGATATTAATCGGAGATGTAACAGTGTAAAAGAAACTAAGTCTCTGTGTTACAGTACTCCTTACATTCATACTATTGGCACTAGATATAGCAGCAGGAAGCGTAGAAACTGATGCATTGGATTGTGAAGAACCAAACAAAGTTTGATGGACAGAGTCAATAAGAGTAGAAGGTGTGTTGTCAGTGGCTTGATTTTGAATACTTGAAACATTTCCACTGTTTGCTTGTGTAGTAGAATTTGAAGTTTGCCGTTCACTACACCTTTCCAACAATTTTCTTGCAAGCTGTCTTTCGGTATCAATGTTGTTCTTTATTTTAGAGCTTTCTGTAGTTCCGCTATCACTCAGCACTACAAAAGAAATAAAGTGTTATTGATTGAGAAGGAAGGATAAAAAACAAGGAAAGAACCTTACAAGATGAAATATTATCAAGAATCCCTAAAGAGGAATCGTTAATATTCTTCCTATCAATAGTTTCATTCAGTAGAATCCGTTTGCAATTATCATCCGGAGAATCATTCAGATATTGACGTCCTAAACTAAAAATAATATAATATTAAAGAATAAGACTAATCTAAATATTAATAAAAGTAATAGTTACAAGGGTTTTCTTGCAACAGTGGATGATGCTGTGGGTCGTGGTTTGCTGAGTACAGTAACATCGATCATATCCAATTGTTCTGAATTTGCATTCGTTGCAGCTTCTTTCACTGTTTTCTTATAATTGTCTTCCATTTTTGAAATTTAATACTCTGAGGACACACAAAAGATCATAGAGACGTTCCAAAACTGACTGCTAGTACGCTTCTTTCACTGCTCAGTGTGAAGTACCTGTTTAGTGCTACACTATGTGGAGAATGAGGCGACGATGGAGAACCCATCGCATCGAGATGTTGTGGTGTTTCCGATCGTAGTAAATTATCATTGGCTTGTTCGGATTTTGAAATCTCTTCCATTTTTGAAATTTAATACTCGGAGGACACACAAAAGATCATAGAGGCGTTCCAAAACTGACTGCTAGTACTGTGAGCATCATTGTATCCCTGTTTATCTGCATACAACTGCATGTGACACAACCATGCACTCAGTGAATTTTGGAATATATCCTATGGTGGCTCGATACACCAAGGAATGATTTCCACATCACGTTTGGAACAGGAATGTCATTATAAGTTATATTTAAATAAAGCAACAAGAACTTACAGCGTACCATCAACAAGTGGCGTTTCCTTTTATATTGTTTATCTTTACCCACTTTCAACGTTCAAAATGTTGTATCTTTGACACTATTATGGTTTAATATTCTTCATTTTTACCCTGCGCCCTTCAATTTGACATCATAAATATAGATCAAATTTGTAAAACCGTTGCATACAAACGGATAACGTTTCTTAAGTTATATTGAAATAAAGCAACAAGAACTTACAGCGTACCATCAACAAGTGGCGTTTCCTTTTATATTGTTTATCTTTACCCACTTTCAACGTTTCTAACGTATCATGAACCAAAAATTGGGAAAAGTCAAATAAGTCGATGACAAATGAACGTTCTACGAGGTCCGAATAGATATTACTCCACGTATGTAGTTTCAAACAAGGCAGAATATTTATTAAACTTAAAAATAAATTATAAACATTCTTGTTAAACGATTCAGCTTTAAAATACGAACAACAAATAGCTGTCCCATGTGATGGCGCTATAATCGGAAAGCGTGCGAATCAGCTGCCAGAATTATATACATACTTATTTTTACTATAAATTGAAAATGTTACCCTGCGCCCTTCAATTTGACATCATAAATATAGATCAAATTTGTAAAACCGTTGCATACAAACGGATAACGTTTCTAATGTATCATGAACCAAAAATTGGGAAAAGTCAAATAAGTCGATGACAAATGAACGTTCTACGAGGTCCGAATAGATATTACTCCACGTATGTAGTTTCAAACAAGGCAGAATATTTATTAAACTTAAAAATAAATTATAAACATTCTTGTTAAACGATTCAGCTTTAAAATACGAACAACAAATAGCTGTCCCATGTGATGGCGCTATAATCGGAAAGCGTGCGAATCAGCTGCCAGAATTATATACACACTTATTTTTACTAGAAATTGAAAATGCGTAAATTTTCAAACCTCTATTATCATGAAGCGTTGAATTTTTAATGTAAAATATCCACCTATTTTTGGAAATCTCATTGCTTTAAGGATAAACATATCTGATTGTAAGACGTTACAATATAAATAGATTTCTTTTTCACACAGGTGCATATACTCTGATCTAGTGTGCGTTCTCCCTTTTTTTAAAGTGAATTCGGTGGTTTCCAGTTATCAAACTTGTGTCGACTCGTGTTAACACAAAGGCTGACTATTCGCTGGCTCCAGCGGAATATTTTCGAAATGACCAATGATATAGCTTTGTTTTTATTGAAGTTACACAAGTATGTAATTGCAAACCATTGTATATAATTATAATCAAAGATTGTCATAATTTTCTTGCAGTATGTTTGTATACATTTTTTTCGAAAGCTGTATAAAAATGTAAATGATCACAAAACAAAGAACGAAAAGGAAGTAACTTCCCAAATTATGCTTTCAGTTCATTTTTCAATTGCCTCAATTTTCAACGTACAATTTTAATATTGCATGGGATACGGTGATATTCCGAATTAGATACACTTAATGACCAATGAAATTTATTCTTTAGCATAATCTGAAAGAATTCCACGCTTGTGATTGGCTGCATTAGAACTCCATGTTGCGTCTGATTATTGGAAAGCAGGCTGAAGTCGCGTTTCGACAGCGTTGCTCGGTACCGGACTAACCACGGCAGGTTGATCCCTTTTCATCCATCTGCTTCGTGGTACGTACAGCTTGTTGTGATTGCCCTAACAAAATCGGAATAATCCTCAATTTTTGACGCAGTTAGAAAATAACTCCTCGCAATAATTTGTAGTTCTAAATCTAGTTTAAATTCTCAATACTGTATTTTTGAATAAGTAGAAGTTTTGGCTTAGAATATGTGAAAGTTTATGCGGCTTGTCGTTGCGACTGCAACATGTCCAATTCAAGCTTTACGCTGTTTCTTAGTTTTATCTGTAAATTTATTTGTAGTATTTAATGATAATAATATGTGAAATTGAAGTTTTTATGTAGCAAAATCAGTTGTTTTTTTAATAGATCTGCAATGTTTTGACTACATAACCTATATTCGTGTT